ATATGATCAGAATTTTTAATTTAGGTGGGATGGTAGAGATAATTTTACCAAGCTTCATTTTATAGGCGAGGAAACTGAGACCCAGGAGACAAAGTGACTTGCTCAGGATCGCCTAGCTAGTTCTGACAAAAGTGAATTGAGAACTCAGTTTTGTGGCTCCAACTTTACTTATTCCCAATTGTCTCTAACACTGTAGCACCAGTTTTAATTAAGTAAAGATGGAGTACTGTAGAATGCTACAGTTGTTTTTATAATTCATTTAAAAGTAGATTAACATTTATAACTGTTTGATTTTTCTTTTGGCATTATAAATTTAACACCTATTGTCAAATAAAATTTGGAAATTCTAATTATTAAGCTTTGTGATCATTTGTATAACTGCAAGAGAGTCTGTTGTTGAAACACCAATCAGAATATATGCACCCCTATGTTCATAGCAGCGCTATTTACAATTGCTAAGATCTATAAACAGCCCAAGTGTCCAGCAGAAGATGAGTGGTTAAAAAAGCTGTGGTACATTTACACAATGGAATACTATGCAGCTATACAAAGAAAGATCTCTTACCCTTTGAGACAACATGGAGAGACCTAGAGAGTATTATGCTAAGCTAAATAAGCCAATCAGAGAAAAACAAATATCATATGAGCTCACCTGTTTGTGGAATATAATGAACAAAATAAGTTAATGACAAAATAGACCCAGAGGCATGGAAGTAGAGAACAGACTGACAAACCTCAGAGGGAAGGAGTGGGACAGGGCAGGAAGAGATAAACCAAAGAACTTACGTGCATATATACATATCCAATGGTCACAGACAACAGTGGGTGAAGGCAGGGGGGATAGGGGCAGGGAGGAGGGTGTCAATGGGGGAAAACAGAGGAAATCCGTAATACTTACAACAATAAAGAAAAAAAAAGAGAATCTATTATGTAACTGAAAAAGGAAGTGTTTTTGTTATTGTTACTGTTGTTTTGAGAACTCCAGGTATCTTGATTATTTCTTTAATATAAACTTTAGGTTCTTTTAGACACATTCCTCACTTTTATTAGAAATTTTTTCTGGGTGAAAAAAGCATTCTTTCCTCTAATATTTTCTAAAGAAATAATCCTTTCAGGCAATCAGAAGCTTTTTCAGCATGAACACTGGAATTACCATGAGCAATATGTGCAATTTATAGTCATGTACTAAACTGTAAGATTTTCTTACATTATCTGCCAAGGGCCTTTTCATAACTAATCCACTTTGATCATGAATGGATATGTCATCCCATGAGGTTTTTACAGTCTCGCTGGTAATGTCAAGACAAACAATCACATGTTGGTTTAAGTGTGATAGAGGTCAATGAGATTCCATTCCTGTGACGCTCTCTCTGGTTTGGGCAAAACTGTATGACATGCCTTGGTTCCTCGTCAGGAATTTTCCAGACTACTAATTGTCCTTGGTTCGTGAAGTTTCGGTAAACACTCCTTAGACTTTTTACCTAAAACACTATGAGAAATCTCTCCATCAGCGATGGTGCCTTCACTGATTTTACCGTGTTTGATGCATTCTTGGTTTCTTTTTCTGTAGCAGCAGCGCTGGGAAACTGTGTGTGAGGCCCCTTGGCAGCGATGTCTGCTGTTCACCAGCAACTCCCTTTTAAAACTCTCCCGCTAGTTCTCAGACAGTGAATTCCGTTGCTTCTCTTCCTGCTGAAAAACTGCTTCTCCATCTCCTTCTGGCTTCCTTGGCCTTGGAGGACTGAACATGGCGCTCACTCCAGGACACACGCCTGGCTTTTCCTCCGTGTCTGCGCCTTCTCCTGGGGTCCGCATTCACTTGAACCTACACACTTGGTTCCCAACCTCCCTCTCCAGCCCCAAACTCTTCACTTGGATGTTCTGCTTTCAAAAGAAAAACTAAAGTAGTCATTATGGAATAACAGAACTTTGTTGTACTTCCTTCCACTTATTTGGAGGCTTAGTAAGTTTTTATTCTTAATTATATACGGGGGCACCATAATGTTTTCAGTATTTAGGACCCTAAGTACCTTAATGCAGCTGTGATTGGGGCCACTGCAGAATCCTGGGCTCCATCCTCTGCCCCGACTTCCTAATAACCATTCCTTGCACCCTGTTTATTTTCCTGTCCTGCTCTTCCATCTAGTGTTTTCTTTATTTTTGCAAGGTTATGCCTTGCTTATTCTGCTGCTCAAATGGAATCTTGTCCTTTCAGCCTTTCTTACTTCCATATTCCTGCTTTAACACCCCCGAGTAAAGGATTTTAACCCATTCCCTGCTTATCCTGCCTATTTGTCAGACATTTCTTTCTTCCGAAGGATTTGTACAAACCTATTTCCCATAAAGATGTTGAATTATTTCCTTTGATTTGTTCTTCAAATATATTAAAATAAAAACAATGATTCCTAATTCAATCTGTTTCCCTTTTTATAACCACCCTGGATTTCCTTTTCTGAAGCCAGTTTTAATTCTACTGTTTCCTCTGTTCTGATAGATGTCCTGGGGAGGTTTGAGGTGTGTGTGTGTGTGTGTGTGTGTGTGTGTGTGTGTGTGTGTGTTGGACTGAGAAACTGCAGAAGTATTTCAATAGCAACAAACTGGCCTGTTGATTCCTAACTCTCTCACGACCACCTTTTGAAACCCAAGATGGCAGGTTGAGTCAGTGTTGCTCGCTGAGCTTCGTGGAGAGAAGCAGTCAGTTCTCCTTATCCTTGTGGATGTTTCCATTGAGAGCCACATGTTTTATTTACAAATACCTGGAGCTCTGACGTCAAACATTTATGGCTAACTTTCACTTTCCTGCCAATAAAAGGGTTTGTTTTTCAAGCAAGGGAGATGGCGTTGATGGGAATGTGAAGAGGGAGAGGTCAATGGTAAGGGAGTGATGGAAAATAATTGTGAAATTCGCTCTTTGATGGAAGAAGGCACTTGTAGAGATAGAAAAGATACAAAGCATAGTGGGGGTGTTAGCCGGGGGAGAAAAAAAATGATACCCACCAGTGAAAAGGTGGGGAAAAAAAAGAGAGAAAGGTCGTGGGAGCACAGACAGCTGTATGAAATGAAGGTGCAAGTAGAGGAGATGCCGAGAGAAAAGCCACATAGCCCAGCCGAGATTAGGTGGCATGGTTGCATGCTGGACCAAACCTACACGGTTCTGCTCCTTTCCAGTGACTTTTTGGACCAAGGGTTGAAACAGAAGGAGGGAGGCAATTTTTCCTGGAAGCAAATCTAGATCAATAATGAAGTCACAGGATCACACACAACTGCTCTTTCTCTCTACTTTTCTGTAAAGTTGAACAGGTCGTGATCGGCACATATTGCTCCGTTGGCTTCCCACTCAGCCATCTCCAGTCTGCAAGCAAGTCCTGGGCACAGTGCATTTTCTGCTCCGCACATTCCCGCTGGTCCTGGGAGTCTGTGCTTCCACACCAGGTGCATCCTCCTCGCACGTCAGTGACTTACTGGAGATGAGTTAGATGTTTTCACCCGCCCGTGGGTGCATTCGGGTACACAATGCAGAGTCGTCAGTAATGAACTAAGTGCCTGTCTTCCTTCCGGAGAACAGCTTAAACAGAACTTAATATATGCTAATCAGTTGTAATAAAAATTCCCTAGAGATTGCCTCAAATTCTTTGTGCAAATCACATTCAGTTTATACTCTTACTCTGAGAAGGAGACACAACCGAGTTGACTCAGGATGGACTCACACCCGTGTATTTAAAGACTTGGAATGTTTCATGACTCAAGTTTTCCCTCAGCTTCCTTCCCATTGAACAAGGGAGTTGATTAGGTACTGGCAACAATTAAGGTGTGGTTAAGGGCCCTCCCTTAGGAAAAGTGAACAGCACTGCTATAGAGTGTTGACTTTTGTCCCCCAAAAAGATATGTTCCAGTTCCAACCCCTACTACCCGAGAATGTGGCTTTATTGGAATTGAAAATAGGGTCTTTTCAGATATAACCAAGTTAAGATAGGTCATACTGGAATAAGGTGGGCCCTACTCCAAAGTGATTGGTGGGTGGCCTTCAAGAAAAGAAGAGAAGGACACACAGAGAGAACATCATGTGAAGACAGAGGCAGAGATTGGAGTGATGCATCTATAGGCCAAAGAAATCAAGGATTGCTGGCAACACCAGAAGGTGAGAGCCAATGCGGGGGTTCGGGGGGGTTGTTTGGGAGTGGGGAGGGAAACGCGGTGGCAGGCACAGGCTGGAGAGCCTCCTGAGAGTGAGGCTGCCCCCAGGAACACCGACAGGCCCAGTGCCCGTTACTAAGAGACAAGTGGCAGACACTGGCTCCGATCGGTGCAGGTCAGGCTCCGCACTGAAAACTAGAAGCCGAAGTCACGTGACTCCAGGTGCTCAGCCTGATCTCAGCAGGACTGGAGAGTGGTTATAGGGGATGAAGGACAGGATCCAGTCTCCTAGAAGAAGAGGCTGGGCAGAATTAGGGAGTAGGTTGTGTAGCAGGGAAACTGAGCCGGAGCTTCTGGAGTCCTGGCCAGTAGGGCAGTAGGTAGGAGGAAGTAGATGAGTCACCACCCCTTCCAGCCGGCCTGTCTGAGTGACGGGGGCAGGCCTGAGGACTTCAGAGTCGGTCATGCACTGTTCTTAACAAACCTTCCAGCTAACCCCAGGATGCAGTTTGGGAGCCCAGCCCTGAACAGGTAGATAGGTGCTCACCACAGGGTGAGACAGTAGAAGACACTGATAACTTTATACATATATTTTGACACACACACTAAGAATGATGCCGGAGTGAATAGACAAGGCAGATTGTGGCCTCAGGTGACTGGCCACCCGCCCACTCAGGCTCTGCCGGGTTACCTGAGGGGACAGGGTACTCCACACAGGTAGCCCCTTCTGCGCGTGGACCTGCACCCTGAGCCAAACATGGTGCAGTCCCCGAACCCGTGAGAAATGGGAAGTAATGACCAGTGCGTGGCAGGTGGCGCCATTCCTTCCCATGACAGGACCACACAGGTCAATGCGCGGAGCTCACCTGCACTGCCCGTGGTCCCTGTCGCACTCCGGGATGGCAGCCCCAGCAGCAGCGCCCGCCCGGGAGCAGTTGCAGCCTTCGCAGCCCGCCAGGGGGTGGAAGCTGAAGGAATGGCTCTCGCACACGTCGCACTGGGGCCGGGCCGTGCGGGGAGGGCAGAGGCACTGCCCCGTCGTCTCCTCACAAAGGCGCCGGCCGCAGCTGCATGCTGGCCAGGGGGCAAAGAGATACAGGTAAGATTCGATGCCTGACCTCCAGCAGGGCTACCAACAGCCAGGATTTCCAGAAGCTTTCAAGGGGTCTGGGAGAAACGTCTTGCTTTTTCTTCATTATGACATTATTGGTCAAAGCTGATAGGAAAGGCCCTTTCTTGGGGCTAAGAGCAAACATATCAAATGCTCATGGTGGATACGGTGTATGACACAGTGTGTGAACACTATACTGGTTCCTACCAGCTACTCAGAGGAACCCGCCCAGCTGCCCATCTGTGCCATTCTAGTGTGAGGTCTCTGGATCATCGGACGTTTGCTCCTCCCAGGCTCCCTGAAGTGGCTCCACATCACCCCTGTACACTGAGCCCAGAGCCAGGACTTGACTCAGGAGGACCATTAGGCAAAGGCTGGTCTCCATGTGGGGACTGTTTGTGCCACACCTGCACCCCTCACTGCTGCTACATGGCCGGAGCTGACCCTACGTCTCAGGCAGCAGGACGGCTCTTAGATCAAGTCTGCAGACTCCTTGTTCAGGGAGTAGTATGCCCTCTGACCCTGCCTGTCCTCCCATCGCAACCTTGGTTGGGTTGCACAAACTGAAAAGGCTTCCACTAGGAAGGAGATTGAGTTGGCCAATATTTTAATGCTTAAGGCTACTTACACTCACCCACTTTGCCAAACGCATGGGTCACCTAGCCTGGGAAACACAAATATTTATCTTCTAGAACTTTGCTACTCAGAATGTGGTCCATGGGCCAGCAGCAAGGGAATAATGAGTAGAGACCGTCAGGCTGCAGCCCAGGCCTCCTGAATTAGAATGTGCATTTCCACAGATCCCTCCGTGAGTCCCCAGCACAGTGAAATCGGAGAAGCCCTGCCCTACATGAGCATCGTCCACCTGGGACCAGAGACCCCTCTGCACGGCCTGAACGTGCACTTACGCTTGCAGTGTGGGAATCCGTAGTAGCCCGTTTGACAGCGGGTACACTGACGACCAATCACACCAGGCTGGCATCGGCACTGCCCGCCCTCTGGGCTGCAGTGATGGCCAACGGCCCCAGAGGGGTGGCACTCACAGGGCAGTGCGCCCTTGTGGTAAAGGGCCACCAGGGACCGGGCAGAGTTCTTACAGAATCCGGAAGCTGTCTGGGGGCTGTGGAGACAAAAACAACTTGTGGTGCTATCCCAGGAGGTGTGCCCAGAAACAATCCCACCTTCCCTTCCTATTTACCCACCAAGCAGGGTCTGTGGGGAGAGGCTCTGGCTCTGGAGCCTGGGAGAAAATGGAAGAACAACCCATCCCTGGACCCACAGCCAGTGACAGCCACCCTTCCCCTCACCCATCCACCCCAGAACACCTCACAAGGTGGAACTTTAGGTGGCTGGAATAAGAGGGTGAAAATTTACCTGTAGAATGACTTGTATGATATGTGGATTATATATCAATAAAGCAGTTACAAAAAATTACACCTAAATGTGTAATGATACACCAATAACCATAATAAGGAGGACCAGGTGAACAGTCAACATTTATTGCATGTTACGTGCTAGAAGCTTTTCCTACATGTCACTTAACCTCATGACCACCAGGGAGGCCTTAGTCCCATTTCACAGATAAGGCAACCGGCTCCTAGAGGTGAAGCAACATCCCCGAGGCCACAGAGCGACAGAGTGGCCGAGCAGGCATGTACATCCATCGCAGCTGTTTGACCTCAGAGCCTTGGCTCTTCATACTTTCTGTGCAGGGAGCTTCTGCCTACCAGGCTGCCTGGAGCACCTGGGCTCCTCAGGAACCTACAGGGGGCTGGGTGGGCCTGCAGAGGAGAACAGGAGCTGATACAGGGCAGCACTAGGCTCTCGGCATTTGAAGACTCAGGACAAGGATGGGAGGTCTGTCTTGCTATGATGCTCCCCGCTCAGTCAGATGGCAATGGAGGGTGGGAATCAGGTCTGCATGCCTCCCAGTGGAGGGTACCCTGTGTGGCATCTTTCGGGAAACTGAGTTAGACAACAGGAAGAAGCAAAGAGGGAGAGAATCTCCTGAGCAGCCCATCAGTCCCAGTTTGGAGGGTGAACCTCTGTTGAGAGGTGGAAATCTTGCCCCGTGCATGACGAGACCTGTTATGAGACAACGTGTGCAGAGAAGAGCACACCTTCCCTGGACCCGGGACTCGCTGCCACTCCCTTGGGCGCAGGGAGGAAGAAGACAGATCCGAGGGCCAGCAGCTCCCTCGCCTTGCCCTGGGCGGGAATGGGGGAGAACCTCATGCATTCGAGGGCCTTTCCACAAAGTAATACTCACTCAATATAAAAACTATTTCCTCCACAATTGTTGATAAACTCGAGGGACTTGTCCACTGATTTTCTGTGAAGAATTTGGTAGTCATAATTCTCCGCGGGCACCAGGAGAACACGGACCTAAAGGAAACAGTGAGCACGTCTTTGGATTTCCAACAACAGGGCACACCTACTGCTGTTCATTACACTCTGTGTACTAAGATCAGTGTTCTCTGTCAGTAAGCCCAAGGCCAGATGAAACAGGATTTGTGAATAGAAGAATCACAAGAACACCCCTAAGCCAGCATTAAAGGCTCAAGCTATGGTCCTATGTAGGAAGTGATCATGAGAGCTGGGCAGGCCCCTGGGGCAGCTGCTCAGAGAAGCAGCAGCCTGGAATGTGGGTCGAGGCAGGAGGCCTGGGGGTAGACAGGGGCCTGTCAGGATGCCCCAGGCCCCGTGTCTGGAATGCCTCTGGATCTACAAGGGCTGTGGCTTTGTAGCTTTTAAAGGCGAGCAAATGGAAATGGCAGGACCAATGGAGAAACATATCATGGCTTGCCCCTGAAGTTTATATCACATCAGATGTGTTATCGTGAATAATTGTAGCCCTAGTTTTTAAAAGTCCTGCTCAGTTCTCTGAAACTGTATAAACGAGACTATGTTATTAACAAATACTGTAGGGCCCTGGCCGGTTTGGCTCAGCGGTTAGAGCATCGGCCTGCGGTCTGGAGAGACCCGGGTTCGGTTCCCGCTAAGGGCATGTACCTCGGTTGCAGTTTGTCCCCGGCCCTGGTTGGTTGTGCGGGTGGCGACCACCACTCGATGTGTCCCTTTCACATCGATGTTTCTCTCTCTCTCTGTTCCTCTCTCTCCCTCCCACTCTATCTGAACAAAGAATGGAAAAATGTCCTCGGGTGAGGATGATAAAACAAACAAACAAACAAACAAACAAACAAAAAACAAATACTGTAGGAAATTTCAAACGTCTTTATCAACTACTCACCAACATTCAGCTTACAGAGAGACTATCAATCTGATGTTATTCAAGTCAATAAACATTAGCCAAGCACCTTGTGCCAGCTGATGTTCTAGGCACAGGGGAGACAAACAAAGCCAGGCCCTGTCCCTAGGAAGAGGACATCCTCGGAGAAAGAAGGTGCGTGAGCAGGGACTGGAGGGCTGCTCGACAGGCACTGGGTGACCGGGAACAGGGCAGGGGCGCTGGGCCTGTGCAGGGAGCAGGCTAGGTGGGAGATCTCCGGCTGTAGAGAGGGCAGCGGATGGCTTCATATTGGGGCTGGGGCTCAGGAGAAATCAGGGATGAATTCACAGATGTGGGCGCCACTCTCACCGAGGACAGAATAGAAGCAACAGGCACAGAGGATGTTACCGGGGGGAGGGGGTGACAGAAAAAGGGGCTCAGGGTCCCACCCAAGGGAATGCCTACATATGGGGACTAAGGGACAAAGAAATCACGGAAGAAGCACTAGAGAAAGTGGGAAAAAACGAGAACACAGCCATGGAAGCCACAAAAAGACAGTTTTAAGAACAAAGGATCTTAAATGCTTCAGAGAGAGACCAGTCAGAAGGGGAGTGAGGAGGGTTTGCGGGGGGTATTTTCTTCCCGTTTACTCTCTATTATTCCAGTTTTGCTTGATTTTAGTTGTCACGTACTGTTTTTTTGGTAAAAGGTAGCTGTACAATTGAAACATTTCTCCATAAATATGCCTTCAATGCCCTGGAGGAATTACTGTCATGAGCCAAACGGACACACAGAACGGCCGACCAGGGCGATCGGGCGAGGACAAGCTGAGGGACAGGCAGGACGCACCAATACTAAGGACTTTCCTTCCGGAACCTCCACAGTCACAGCCACCTCAGGCTCCGAGATGTCAAACTCCACCTGGTCTTCAGCAATCACGTGGTCCTGGCAGCCAAGCACGTGGGGGCAGAAAGAGGCCCGGAAGACACCTGGGCAGAAAGGGGAGGTCCTGTCACACCCCCGCAAGGCCAAGCGAGGTGGCACCTGGCGGGGTCCTGCTCCTGCCGCTCACCTGCCCACAGCCGCCCGCCCTGCACAGACACCTGCGCAGGAAAGGACGGGTGCGCGGGTTGACGGAAATGGATGACAGTAACGTATGGGCCCAGGCGTGGTACGCGTCCCCTCAGGGTCACATGCTTCTAGGAGGAAAAGGGAGAAAAAAAATCTCCTCAAGCTGCAGAGCTATGAATAACCAGAATCACAGGATATTTTGAGGTTAAAACCCAAAACAACCGAGGTATTGACCCAAGTGAAGTAAAAACTTTCACCTGAATGTTTATAGCCTCTTTATTTGTGATCACAAACGCTGGAAACAACCCAAATGCTCCGCAGTTGCAGAACAGATAAACCCACTGTATGCCCTGGCTGGTCTGGCTCTGTGGTTAGAGCGTCGGCCCTCGGACCAATGAGTTGCGGGTTCGATTCCAGTCAAGGGCATGTACCTCAGTTGTGGTCTGTCCCCCGCCCTGGTTGGGAGGTGCGGGGGAGGCAGCCAGTCAATGTGGCTCTATCATATCAATGTTTCTCTCTGTCTCTCTCTCTTCCCTCACACTCTATCTGATAATAAGTAGAAAAATAGCCCAGCCAGTGTGGCTCAGTGGTTGAGTATCGACCCATGCACCAAGCGGTTGCCGGTTTGATTCCCAGTCAGGGCACACACCCAGGCTGTGGGCCCAGTCCTCAGTGGGGGGCATGCAGGAGGCGGCCAGTTGATGTTCTCTCTCATCGATGTTTCTATCTCTCTCTCCCTCTCCTTTTCTCCTCTCCCTTTCTCTCTCCCTAAAATCAACAAAGAAAAAGAAAATTTTTTTTAAAAGTAGAAAAATATCCTCAGGTGAGGAATTAAAAAAAAAAAAGAAAGCCCAGATACTCATGCCTTGGCACAGGTGGCAAGTTCAAACTACACAAGTTCTAGCCCATGGGAGAGAGAGAGCCCTCACCCGGGACTCCCCCACCCCACCCCTCACACCCACCCAGTCACACTGAAAACCAGTCACACCCCTCTGTTTGTTCAAGTTTGAGTGTGGGCCCTCCTCTCTCCAAAAAGCTTCACTATGTGAGTAAGAAGTCTTTTCAAACTCTCAAAAAAAAAAAAAAAAACCCTACAAGAATAACAACAAGTTTATCCTCATCTTCCAGAAGAGAACATGATTCAGGGAGAGTAACCTGCTGAAGGTCACACACTAACTTGGAAATAACATTGGGACTAGAACTGTATTGTCTTGAATTCAATTCATTGCCCTCTTCTATGTTCAGCTTCCTTTCCCATATGAGGTCTCACTACATTTTCTCTCTCACATCTGTTAAGTTCCTAACTCAATTCAATGGGAATGGACACAAGCCATCTCTGGTATTAGAAGGATATAATATCATCAGAACAAATGTTAAGTCCTTGTATTTCACAGTGAACTTTGTAGTTCACAGTGAAAAAAAATTGTATTCCCATACTATATTTCATCCTCATGCCTAGATCAGCGATTTTCAGCTGGTGTGTCGCGAGTTTTATTAAAACATGCCATACTTGACTATTTAGTCAGGAGCACTGACCTCCTTCCTCTGAGACTGTCAAATTAAAAAATGACGACAGCCAACACAACAATAGTTGTCTGGTGTGAATGTCCTATCTTGAACCATAAATATAGTACAAGTCATAAAACAGAGTTGTATTTTATTGGCCACATTGCATAATAAGGTTGTGTCCAATCGGTTAATTCTTGGTACCAGAAATCTATATTATACAAGTATAGGCACCTGATTTTTTTTTTAAGTCCCTTTAGGAAAAAAGGGTAGATTATTATTATCATTTTAAATCGATCAAAATTATACCTATATTTTTGTCAGCTCAGCAAAAAATATATTTTTGGTGTGCCACAGAACTTTAGTGATTAGTTTATGTGTGCCGCAAGATGAGCAAGGTTGAAAATTGCTGCTCTGGAAGATTAATCAATAAATGTTTACTGAGAATTCCCTTCCTGCAGGCATTGTGCTTATGCAGCTGGTGATACAAAAAATTGTTCGCCGCCCTGGCCAGTTTGGCTCAGCGATTGGAGCGTCGGCCTGCGGAGAGTCCAGGGTTCGGTTCCCGCTAGGGGCACGTACCAAAAAAAAAAAAATTGTTCACCACAGCAGCTACTCATAAAGTGCTTCCTTTCCAACGTGGGAAGGTAATAAACGCAACAATGTTGAACAGCAATAGCCCGTGAAAACATGAGGTCTCATAAGATGTGCCCTGAGAAGTTGTCGAGTGCCTTAGACAGAGAGGCAAGAAGGAAAGAGCCCATCAGGAAGAGGTGGTCGCAGACAGGATCAACCAGATGCCTGCGTCTGGAATCCTCCACAGCTGATGGGGAGGATCTCAAACTTTAGGGGAACCTGAATTCAGCGGGAGGGCAATGAAAACACGGATCCCTGGCCCCTCCAGAGATTCCGATCCGGTAGCTCCGAGGCAGGCTTGCGAATCTGCATCCACTGCTACCAAGTTCCCAGGTGCTGCAGGTGCTGCTGGTTCGGGGCCACACTTGAACCACTGGCTTAGAAACAGCACGCTCAGGGCAGTCCTACCTGTGGTGCCATCAAGGTGGTGCCAGCAACAACATCAGCAGAAGGTGAAGGCTCCTGGGGCAGGAGAGGGGGAGACTCACCCCATGGGACATCCCAAACGAATGCTGCTGAAGGAGTTTTGGGGGACAGGGAGATACAAGTGGCCCTGAAAATGAGAATATTTAAAAATCTCATTTTAAAAATAACCATAAAAGGGAGAACTGCCCACTGATGAAGATATCGACTCTGAGTATAAGACGGTGTGAAGGATCCAGTCTTGGGGGACCCACAGGACTGTGGTGATCTTGATACTGGCCAGTGTATCCCAGCTACCTTCTCAATACAATGAGCTAACACAGAAAGAAAAACCTTAATTTTGAGGGAAAGTAAACTATATAGAAACGTACTGAAAATTCCCTTTTAGAACTAAAGTTGTTAAATAGATCAATGCAATGAAACATTATTCACCTCTAAACATACATGTTGACATAAAACTGTAAAAACAAAGAGAACAAATGCATGTTGTTTCTTCAGGTGCAGCCAGATTTCATTGCCTTGCTAGTTTCCAGGGTCCTAGCCATGTGCACAGATTTTATGACCGTGTCAATAAATTATTTTTGAATCCACATCAAAACAACCCTGCCAAAACCAGTAAGTATTGGTTAGCTCATTCTCATAACTCAGTTGGGAGATGGGTCATTATTTTCATGGTTTTTTTAAATGAAGAGCCTCCGACACAAGGATTCGCGGATCAGGACAAAGTGAGTTTCCGAGAGCTCAGAAGAGCGCTCAGCGTAACTGCCCATGAGCACGAGGCTTAACCAGCTTCCTGACATAACAGAATTCTGAAAAGACTTCTGGGGTAAATTGTTTAGCTGTTTGTTTGTTTTCTAAGTCGTCACCAGCCTTTCTCACTTTGGCCTAGTATCACCCCCAACATGGTATCAAGTTGCAGCCTTACAAGCATCATAGTATCATTCAGAACATAAATAAGGGACAAAGGAAGAAAACACATTACCTCTGATTAACAAATGGTCCATAACTGGCAATGCATTTTACTTCAGGTTTCAAATACTCCGTTGAGAATTCTTCAATGGGTATAATACAAATTTGATGCTGTCAAGCAAATACAATGCAAATAGGTATGTTGCAGTTATCAGCAAAACCAATGGTAAGGTCAAATACACTCTTTAAAAGGCTTGGAAGTGCTCTGGCCGGTTTGGCTCAGCAGTTAGAGCGTTGGCTTGCAGTCCAGAGAGACCCAGGTTTGGTTCCTGCTAAGGGCATGTACCTCGGTTGCAGTTTGTCCCCGACCCACTGGTTGGGTCGTGCGGGTGGCAGCCACATAATGTGTACCTTTCACGTCAATGTTTCTCTCTCTTCCTCTCTCTCCCTCCCGCTCTATCTGAACAAAAAATGAAAAAATGTCCTCGGGTGAGGATTAAAAAAAAAAAAAAAAGGGCTGTGAAGTAAAGGACTCATCCAGAGAAATTATAATTGTTATTTTAAAGTAGTCCAAATGGCATGATGGTGCTCCCTCTGGCATCATCATGTGCAACAAATCCTTTTTAATGTTATTCAAGGTCAGTGAATGATGAGATCTGGGAATAATAATATAAATAGACAAAATCATGTGAAAGTTCAAAAACAATTCTTCGTCAGTGACTTTGGTGCTTTTTTTCTTCTCCTGCCCTAAGCTGATGCTGGCTTTTCAGACCCTTGACAAAGAGGGGGGAGGGGTGGTGTGCAGCCAGGGAGCCTGCTATCTGGAGCAAGGGCTACTCCTGCTACACTCAATCTTTCTTAATAGAGGATGACGCAGATCTCAGGCACATTTGAATTTCATTGAAGGAACTGTCTCCAGAGCTAGTTTTTGAGTCATACAAGAAACTCAGTTATTAGCTTACCAATATATTTAATTTTAAATCAAAACTGTATTACTAGCTTGATCAGAGAACTGTTCAGTATCAACAACAAAAATTTTTATTGAACATCTACTATATGTCAGCCACCAGGTGATCAGCAAGACCAAGACAGATAACATTCCTGCCCTCATGGAGCTTATATTCTATCAGCCTTGACTCTGAATTACATTTGACTATTTCAAAAAGGGCAAATTTATGCTTCAAAGATGAAGAGTCAGCCCCGGCTGGGTAGCTCAGTTGGTTGGAGCATCGTCTCATACACCAAAAATGTGTAGGTCTGATTCCCAGTCAGGGCACATACCTTGGTTCCAGGCTTGATTCCTGGCCAGGGTGTGTACGGTAGGCAACCGATTGATGTTTCTCTCTCACATCAATGTTTCTCTCTCTCAAAAAAAAAAAAAAAAAAAAAAAAAAAATCAATAAACATATCTTTGGGTGAGGACATAAAAAAAAAAAAAATGAAGATTTAGCCACATTATAACTTCCAAAGATGAAAAGGTTAAGTCAATTGGACTGCTATATTTAAAAAGAGATTTGTAATTTAAAAAGTCTTAAATTATTATATACTTTATGGAATAATTTTTAAAAATTAAATTCCAGGTACTTCTTTAGAGAAAGCTCAAAGGTTTTAATACTGTCAAGCACAAATATTTAAAACACATTAGAACAGGCTTCTGGTTACTTCCCAGGGTGTGATGCATGCTTAATATTAACAGTCACAGGAAGTTGCTTCATATTTAGATAATTTTATGTTTTCTGAGATATTTACTGCAAATCTGGCCACTCCTTCCTAGCCAAGATCTCACTGACCCTGTTTATCATAATTCTCAGCATTTAAGTTGTGCTATTAAAAGGGTAGATATGAAGCATATTTAATTTACCAAAATTAACATTTTAAATCTTACTATTATATATCAGATTAACTGGATAACACTCTTTTTGAAAAAGAGTAACAATAATCTGAGGAAAAAAAATACCAGATGATTATAATCTTTAAAATTCTGCCCTGGCCGGTTTGGCTCAGCGATTAGAGCATTGGCCTGTGGTCCAGAGAGACCCGGGTTCGGTTCCCGCTAAGGGCATGTACCTCGGTTGCAGTTTGTCCCTGGCCCTGGTTGGTCGTGTGGGTGGCAGCCACTTGATGTGTCCCTTTCACGGCTATGTTTCTCTCTCTCTTCTTCTCTCTCTCCCGCTCTATCTGAACACAAAATGAAAAAAATGTCCTCGGGTGAGGATAAAAAAAAAAAATAATAATTCTGAAGGAATTTGCCAAGAAGCTAATAGATATCATAAAACAGTAAAATGAGAAAGAACATAAACAGTGACTACTACATTTCTCTACATCAGCAATAATAAGCTAGGAAATATAATGACAAAAGTTATCTCAATTCGTAATAGTGACAATGAATAAAAATTAATGAAATAGGGTTTTGTGAGATGTGCTCAAATCTGATGATTAAACTTTACTGAGTGTTATAAAAATGGCTCAAAGAAGAGGCAAGATAGATTTCTAGATGGGAAGAATAAACATCATAAAACTGGCAATTCTTCACAGGGTTAATGTCCTGGGTTTTTATAGATGTAATAAAAACCCAGCCAAAAGTTTCATAAGCTTTTTTGAAAACATAGATAGGAACCAAATGCTTCTAAAATCAATGGCATACCAGCAGGAACCGGGCCCTGTGCGCCTTGAGCCGAACCTCTGCGTCTGCCGACAGCTCGTAAGTGGCGATGCGGCCCCTGCCGTCCGTCACAGCACTGCGGCAGAGCACACTGCAAGAGGACACAGTTTTCTCAGCCTGACTCCCTGGTCTCCCTCCCTCTGTGCCTTCCTGTGGGTGGCTGAGTGCTCTTCCGTTTCTCCTGCTTGTAACCTGGTGGCCAACAGTGACTTTTCCTGCGCGGTGAGTTGAAGAGGGACACAGCTCAGGACCAGCACCGGAAAAGAACCTTCCACAGGGGTCCGAGCTGCACCTCTCAGGGCTAAACACCTTGCTTACCTTTTCCCCTGGCTTTAGGGACTTGGTTTAGTCATCGGGAGAAAAAGGCCCAGAGTCAATAATGCCTGATCATTAAGACAGCCTTCTTGGAAGTTTACCAATAGCCTTGGTATTGTGGGCGATTCAAGTTGCCTATTGGCCTCACAACCACCATCCCAGGCCTATGCGTGAGTGTAGCTGGGCTTCACACAACGTTGTGAGATACCCAGTTTGCCTTTGGAAACCCAGCCTGTTCCTCCTCATCCTTCCTTCCTCATTTCTACCAGTGGCAGGTCTTCCCTTCATCCCAACAGGTTAGATGTTCAGGAACATTTAAAAGGTCACCGTTTTGTCTGGCCGGTGTGGCTCAGTGGTTGAGCATGGACCCATGCACCAAGAGGTCGCCAGTTCGATTCCCGGTCAGGATACATACCCAGGTTATGGGCCTGATCCCCAATGGGGGGCATGCAGGAGGGGGCCAATCAATGTTCTCTCTCATTGATGCTTCCATCTCTCTCTCTCCCTCTGACTTCCTCTCTGTCTAAAATCAATAAAGGAAAAAAAAATTTTAAATAAAAAATAAATAAATAAAAGGTCACCGTTTTGAATCAAGAATACACTGTAATGGTAACCCATAAAGTATTTTTTGAGGAATGCTTCTGACTTTATATTCCATAGTAACTTTTCTGTCTATAAATATAATTTGGAACAAGTGTCACTCTAAAACAAAATGACCATCTCTGGGAAATACAGGGTGGGGCAGAAATATATTTACAGTTGTTCATACAAAAAATAATAAAATCATTAATAAATAATAATACAAGAATAAACTCTGTGTTTCACATACTGACAACCATAAACCTACTTTTGTCCGTGCTATATTTTAAATAATTTATTTAATGACTTTTGGGGTGAAGATTAGAATGAGATAGTGTATAAAGAGCTAAACACAGTTTGTGGCATATAATAGAAACTCAATAAACAGTCATTTTCTTTTCCTTTTTTGTACATGTGTATATAGAGTTATGAGTATGTGTCAACTAAAGTGCATTCCTTTTGGATTCAAACATAATCCTGGAAGTTAAATATGTTAAGTAATTCACTTAGGTTTAGATTTATCCTTATCCTCTATTAAATTCTTTCTAAGACTAGACTGACAGTAATAACTGGGTTGATTTAATCATTAATGATCACCTCTTTTATGGAGGGAAGATCAAATTTATCATGGCATTGTTTTGAAAAGTGGTATTCCCACTAGAACTATTACTTTTCTGCTGGGGATATTGTTTTTAATAACATAGAATGCAATTGAGAAATGCTGGTAAAGGTTCAACCCTCAGCAGGAGATGTTGCAATGTTGAAAGGGCCTGACATCTGAAATAGGTTTTTATGGGTCAAATATTTTCCAATTGCATATTTTTGGACTCTGGTATATGTAGCTTGTTCATATGTCCACACAACAAGCAAAGTAGAACAGCAGGAAATATTGTAGGCAAGTGAATAAATACCATGGGACCTTCCTGGGAGTGGTTAAGTACGATAGAAGTGACCCCTGTCCAACAATACTGTGTTGGAACCCTAATCATGGAAACTGGTGGTGGAGAACTTTGGTGCTGCCATGTCCATAGCCAAAATGAGCTGCAGAATATTTTGCAGCTCTTCCCCCAATGTGTCGTTCAGACAAAGGTCATGAAACAATGCTTATGGAATCCCGGAAGGGTGTCCCTTCTGCCTTTGGTTGTGAAATCTCTCCTCTGCTTGGCATAGATATTCTCAGCCTCTTCTGAAATAATTCAGAGAGTTACCAGGGTCATTAGAAATGCTTCCTTGTATCCTCTTAGCCATCTCTACTTTGTATCCTGTGGAGTAGGGATCAGGCCATGTGACCTGGAAGAAGAGCTGATGCAGAGGGTGGACTTGGACAGACAGGGTGTGAGGAAGACTTGCCCCAGGCCCTGTGGCCAACAGTCACCAGGATATCTGTGGAGGGGTGACCCACCCATCTGGGAGTGTACATTCCAGTGGTTGTTGATGTCACCTATAGATGAAACTAATATTTTCAGATAATGGGAGGATATCCTGGGGAACTTTTTGGCCCATCTGGTACTCCTTTTAAAAATCCAAACACGATTATATTCTTTGTTTTTTAAATCATCGCCCCAGAGAAAGGGGTGGATTAGATTTTTTAAAAAGATTAAAAACAAACTTTTTTTTCCTTTATTGATTTTAGAGAGAGAGGAAGGGAGAGGGAGAGAGGGATAGAAATATCGATGAGAGAGAATATCGATTGGCCACCTCTGGCATATTCCCCACTGGGCGTTGGGCCCACAACCTGGGCATGTGCCCTGACCAGGAATTGAACCAGTGACCTCTTGGTGCATGGGTAAATGCTCAACCACTGAGCCACACTGGCCAGACTTAAAAAGATTTTTAAAATAAGAGAGACCCCGGTTCGGTTCCCGCTAAGGGCATCTACCTCGGTTGCAGTTTGTCCCCGGCCCTTGTTGGGTCGTGCAGGTGGCAGCCACTCATTGTGTCCCGTTCACATCGATGTTTCTCTCTCTCTCTCTCCCTCCCACTCTACCTGAACAAAAAAAAAGTGGAAAAATGTCCTCGGTGAGGATTAAAAACAACAAACTTGTCAAGTCATTCTGCACCTGACGATCATCAAACATTAATGCTCTCTAGTTCTAAACGGCGTGTTGGGATGGCAGGCGTGCCAGAGAACAGGACTTCTTCCCTGTGCCACACACCCGTGTACTCGGCACAGCATTTGATGTGAGAGCATTGACTTCATTGCACCACATGGGGTGGCGGAAAATAAAATATAAAGTTTTGCTGCCTCCTGTCTGAGCCAAAATGGTAAGTAGAACATAACAGCTTTTCAAGAAAATGCACATTTTCAAGACACTGCCGACTGAGAAACCTCCCCACACCCACACTGGGTGGTGACACTGGATCACTCAACTAGGCACCTGCTTGTTTTTAAGATCAGCCTCAGAAAGGAAACAGCTTTCCAATCCAGATAAAAACCAAGGTTCCCAGAGCTGACCTCCTGACTGTTGAGTTACAGAGGAACCCCCAGGGCAGGACGGATTACCTGTACTTGCAGCTGTAGATGTTCACCTGGCCAACCAGGACAGACCCAGGGCTCTCCACGTGCACGTCAGCCACAGAAAGCTGCTCTGCTTCCGTGGAATACTCGACCACGACCACGTAGTGGCTGACCTGCGGGACCCGCAGCTGCAGATGCAGTTCCACCTGTCAGGGAGCCCGAGCAGACAGACGTGAAATGTACTGGGTGTGTTTATATAGGCAGTGGTGATAGGGCTGAGTAGACACCTGGACATAGTTTTCTATGTCACCATTGTAAGGTAGGCGGTCCTGTAGGTAGGGATGCCAGATAAAATACAGGATGCTCTGTTAATATGAAATCTAGATAAACAACACATAATTGTTGATCACCTTCAATTTAAAGTTAATGGGGCATCCAGTATTTTTATTTTCTAAATCTGACAACCCTCCATTTAGGAGCTTCTACTTTTTCTACTTATATATTTGCCTGTTTCTCAAGATAAAAGACACTCCACATCTTGAAGTAGAAAGACGTTTCCAGGGGGAGATAAGAGAAATGGAAGTGTGCCTTGAGGCTTTTTAGCTGTTTTTTAATTTGAAAAGAAACTTTAAATTATATGAATACAAACAATGTAAAGTGATACACACACCCTACTCCAGGGATAATGATAAATAATAACTTGGTTTTCATACTCCCAAACCACTTTCTATGTCTTAAAATGCACAGATGTGTATTTTTTAAAAGAAAAGAAAAGAAAAGCTGTAATCGTAATAGGCAATCACGGACGCATCCGCACCATCATGGCAGAGCTGAGTAGCTGTGACAGAGACTGAACAGCCCACATGCCTAAAGTACTGTCTAGCCCTTGACAGGAGAGTGTGCCTGTCCCTGACAGCACCTACGGGCTGAGAACTTGACATCTGGAACCACACTGCCTGCAGCTGTGTGACCCAGCGCTGTGTGCCCCGGTACCCTCCTGTGTAAACATGAGGATAACATCCACGTCTTAAAACTATCATGGGGTTAAATGAATTCATGCATGAAACACTCTTAGAACTGTACTTGCTGTGTCATAAGCACTATATAAACAGTAATGATTATAACTGATTATCGATTTTTGCCATGACATGCATTTTTATCTCAATAGTATTTCATATGTCTATAGCAATACATACAGAAGAAATACTTCATTTTTCTAATGACCGCCTGTTATTCCATAACATGAATATAAAATCATTTATTTAACAAATCCCCTATTCATGGACACTGAGGTTGTCTCTAATTTTCCCTATAACATATAATGTTATACGATCATCCATATGTGTGTGTGTGTGTGTGTGTATAATTATCCTAGTCTTTCTGTAAGATTCCTCAAAGTAGAATTTCTGGGTCAAAGCGTATGTGCGCATTGAATGCCTGAGCCAACATTAGAACTACATTTCTAGCAGTTTAACCCACTACAGTGCATAAGCTCAGGCCCAGCCAAACTTTACCACATTTAATTAACCCCCCCCAGGCCCTGTCTTCAGGAAATTCACACTTACTCTTCCTTCTGCACAGCTTTGCACCACACAACTGCCATTTCCCACAGTGCCTTTTCTATCACTTACAATAGAAAGACCTCCCGGGGGTGGGGGTGGGGGGTGGGGTGAGAAATATGGATTTTCCACACCACTTTTCCATGTTACAGAGTGAAACAGGAGGCTGCCATGGGCCCATGAGGAGAGGTTATTACAAGCACTTCTCCCCTGAGCATCTCCAAACAAGGGCTTGTCTGTCTTCACCCTACACACAGGCCAACAGCATAGGAAGTTTTCTCCCGGAAGTTTTATTGGCTTCCAATTCAATCACAGAACCATTATAAACTCCTATTACTCTTTCCATTTTGAGTCCTATGGGCGGATTTTTGGAAGACTTATGGGAAGGGTTTTTGAATATATTTGATGGTAAAAAGAGGTTTTGAGAAACTCAGATAAAATACATAAAAGATGGCAAAGAGAAACTGTACTGTTTGCTGTTTATTATCAGTTATCTAGCTTTTATGAAAGGAAACTTTAAGAAAACCAGTGCCGCCCGGCCAGTGTAGCTCAGTGGTTAAGCGTCGACCCATGCACCAGGAGGTCACCAGTTCGATTCCCGGTCAGGGCACATGCCCAGGTTGTGGGCCTGATCCCCAGTGGGGGGCATGCAGGAGGTGGCCAGTCGATGTTCTCTCTCATTGATGTTTCTATTGCTCTCTCCCTCTCCCTTCCTCTCTCTCTAAAACCAGTAAAAAAAAAAAAAATTTAATAAAAAAAAATATAGAAAACCAGTGCCAACTTGGAGGGATTTTTTCAGTTTTATGGTACAGAGTTATGCCCTTACCTAGTTTTCAGTGTTTCAGGATACAGACATAAAAGGTGGGTGTATCAGAGATGCTGCTTACACAAAGAGAACTAACATGGCAGATGTCGAAGTGAGGATTCAAATGATTTAGTCACCTACACTTATTAGACACTTATTCTGTGTCAGCCTACCAGCAAGGTGACAGGCATACAATGGGAACCACAACAGACAGACTTTAATCAAATAATTCATTAGATAAGTCCAATGTGAAATGACATGTATGACAAATGCTTGGGAGAGGTGCTAAGAGGGGTGTGGAAGCCAGTCCGAGAGATGAGGAGAGAGGGCAGACTTCCTAAAGAAGTAATAGCTTAGCTCCACGCCAGAGGACAAGGAACAGATAGCCGGGCCCGAGGAGAGAGAAGAGCATTCAGGCAGAGGGAGCACGCTGCAGGAGGAGGTTCCCTACGACATGCAATGCTGCAGGGTAGTGTATAATGCAAGACCAAGAGAGCGAAGGCAGGGCACAGTGGTGAGGAATGGAGAGCAAGGGCAGGTGTGATCAATTGGGAGGTAAGAGCAGCAGCTTATAGGCCATTACATGTTTTGTCTTCATCCTAAGAGCAGTAAGACATTATTTTAATGTTCCAATTGTGCATCTGTGAGGGTGGGTGAGAGGGTCAGTGATGATTAGATATTTCTATCAAAAGGAGCATGCTGCCTATAGTATGGAGAATGGATTGGTAGATGCAATGAGCAAGGACTGATGTGGGTGAGCTAATTAGGAGGCTACTGCAGAGATTCTTATATATATAAAAAAAAAGGTGGTGTATGGAATACGAAAGATAAATGAAGACAAGTCAAGCTATTCCAGAAACGTCTATGCTAATAATAGATTAAACACACATATCTATTAACTTTCCCTCTCAGAACTCCACAAAAATAAGAGTCCATTTAAAAAAAATCATAAACCCACAAGGAAAAGGGGAATAGGAAAGAGGAAAAGACAGATCACAGAAATCAACAAAGTTTTGGAAGCTGGAAAGCAAATGGATGTTAACTAATTATATCAGACAAAGCTAAAACCCAAGTGTGTGTGTGTGTGTGTGTGTGTGTGTGTGCATGTGTGCGTGCGTGTAGGGTCGGGGTGGGGATTGGAAGAAAAGATTGAAGAAATCTTCCAAGATAAAGAGATTCAAAAGGTGGGTTAAGGATAAAGAAATAAATTATCAAAGAAACACTCAAGAAAGTTTCCCAGGATGATGAGTAGACGTTTCCAGGCTAAAAGGGCCTGCTGAGAGCCCAGCACCCTGACTGAAACACTACCTCTGTCAAATAACATCCTTGTGAAATTTCAGAAAACAAGAAATAGATGACCCCAAAAGCTTTTCAAAAAGGAAAGCAGGTGGCATGCAAGGAACTGGAATCAAAATGCAACATCGCAACAGCAACACTTGAAGCTTTAGAAGTCAGTGAGGAAATGTCACTAAATTCTGGAGAGAAATGATTTCTAATCAAGAACGCTATATCTAACCAAAGGAAAAAAATCAAGATTGAAAGTAGAATAGAGATATTTTCAGATACGTGAGGTCTCAAAAACAAAGGTACCTCCCAGGTGGAGTATCTCAGGAATCTGGTGGAGGATATCTACCAAAATGAGAGAGCAAATTTAAAAAAAGAGAGAGAAAGAAAGGAAGTTCCAATGGTCAGGAAAAAGAGGAACCAGTACAGTGGGGATGAAAAGAGTACGTAGGATGGTGGTGTGGTCATGAGAATTTTCAAAAGTGGCTGTGCCTTGCGTGGAGACTACATCCGACGTGAAGAAGAGAGAGGAAGGGTTCCAGGAGAGATGTCTCCAAGGAGACATGGAGGAGACATAAAGGGAAGAAAGGAGAGGAAGGAGGGAGGAAGAAACGGAGGGTGTGTGATGTATTTGAATCAAGATTAAATGTATGATTTATCCAAAGGTCTGAAAGAAAGGGTAAAAATATAATTTCTAGACAACACCAGAAAGTTGGACGTTGGTTTACATTCTAAAGTCTGTGTCAAGTACAAGAAGAGAACAGAATTACTGAATAACTTTAGACTCTGTTGGAAAAATGTATACTTTAAGAACAAATGTTCAGGGTAACCACTAAAAGACCAGAAAATAATCTAGAGCTACCAAACAATCAGGGAGATGGTGAAAACTATATCAATCAAAGGGAAATCAGAAAAAGTTTATATATTTTTTATTTTTTAAAAAAAGGTCAATAAAAAGCTAGTAAACAAAATAATTAAGATAGTAAAAATAAGTCTAAAAATGTCAGCAATCACTTTACATATAGATGAATTAAAGTCACATTGTAAAGCAGAAATGACCAGATTAAAAAATATATATATTTATTCTCACCCAAGGACATTTTTCCATTTTTTATTCAGATAGAGCAGGAGGGAGAGAAAGAGAGAGGAAGAGAGAGAAACATTGACGTGAAAGAAACACATCGAGTGGCTGCCACCCACACCACCCAGGGCCAGAGACAAACTGCAACCGAGGTACATGTCCTTATCGGGAAGCGAACCCAGGTCTCTCTGTACTGCAGGCTGACGCTCTAACTGCTGAGCCTAACCAGCCAGGGCCAGATTATAATATTTTTTAAAAATCTAGCTGTGTATTTGTTTACAAATGACAGTGTACAACAGGTGTGGTGTTAGAAAGATGGACTACCCAGGTTCTCTCTCAGAGAGAAAGAAGAAGGGACACTCGGGTGGCAGTGGACGCTGGAACCAGGCAGCCTTTGTGGCATAGGAGAGACCAAGCGCTATCAGTAAGGACAGGAGGCCACTCAGGAAGGAGAGGTGAACAGAAAACACGGAGACAAGGGCAGGCTTCTGTCTGAACCAGACTCCTGGGAGACCTGAATGCAGACGTTGGAGCCTGGCAGTCCTCTCTGTGTCTTGGGAAAAAAAGAACAAAACCCTCCCTTCCATGAGCTGGATTTGGGGGGCTGCTTTCCCTTAGCCCAGAGTCCTGACAAGAACACATCAAGAGCAATATGGCTAACAGTTCCTGAGCATCACTGGGTGCTGGGCACCCCAACAAGAGCCCCTCATAGATGATCTTATGTCATAGTACCCATAAGGTAGCTACTATTCTTATCTGCATTTTATATACTAGTAAGTTCAGGTCCAGGGAGGTTTTACAGCCAGCTACTGGTGACTCAACCACCAAAATGAAGGGAGGATTATCCTGCATTGCTTCAGGTGGCTTATGATGGCCAAAAGTTAGACATTATAATGAACCAGATTTGGCCTTAATATAAAAAAACAAAAAACACACACAAAAAACTTCCTAATAATTATGGTTTATTTAAAAATGGAATAGGCTACCTCTAGACGAGGTGAGTCCTTCATCAACTTAAGTATTCAACAGAAGCTAAATAAATATCTAACAGGAGTAACGTAAAGAGGATTCCTTCATAGGCAGGGAAATCAAATGATTTCTAAGATCTCTTCCAACACCATGGGTCTCTGAAGTTTAGCACACTGACCTATTACACAGTGTCCAATAGGACTTTCTGAGATGGTAAAAATATTCTATAATCTGTGCTGTCCAATAGGGTGGCCACGAGACACATATGATAGCTGAGCACTTAAAATGTGACTAGTGCAACCAAGAAGCTGAAATGTTAGCTCTAATTAGATTTAATTAATTCAAATGTATGTAGCCACATAGGGCTAGTGACTACTGTACTGGACAGCACAAGTCTGTAAGCACTTAGATCCAACAGTGAAAAGGACTTAAGTAAAACTGGGCAGCCCAGGGCGTAGTTTTATGCATCACGCAAATACAGTGGCTCAGGGCTGTGGCGCTAAGTCAGAGGCAAGGACACCTCCTCATGAATCATCAGCATCACTTCCTGGAGGTTAGTCCTGTACCTCCTGCTGTCTGGGGAATGAATACACAGGTAAGTATGTGTTTGCACATACATGTATGTATGAAAATATGTGCCCGTGTGTGTACACATGTGTATGTGTGTACACACACACACCATGGGTAAAGAAGGATACAGTGGACAAATTTAATATTAGAATAGAGTGGGAAGATCATTTCATTTTTCTTTATGCATATCTATATTGCTTTACTTGTTCCAAGTATTAACTTTTTTTGTAAAATAAAAATTCTAATGATAAAATGAGGACTAAACTTAAGAATATCCTTAAAATCCTACAACTGCTACACGAAAATGTCAGGAATGTAGTTGTTGTTTTTTTTAAAGTCCAAGGATATTTTTTCTATTTATCATCAGATAGAGTGGAAAGGAGAGAGGGAAAGAGAGAAACATCAACGTGAGAGGGACACATTGACTGGTTGCCCCTCACATGACCCGACCAGGGCGGGGGACAAACCGCAAGCGAGGTACGTGCCCTTGACCGGAATCAAACCCGTGACTCTTTGGTCCACGGGCCGACACTCTAACTGCTGAACCAAACCAGCCAGGGCAGGAATGTAGTTTTTAAAAAAGTGCACATCTAAATGTTCAGTGAGAATTAATATCACATTTAGTTTTTTTCCACAAATTTAATTCCCCAAATGATCCTCAAAGGCACAAAACAGAGAATGCTATGGAAAGTAAGGAATGAAAATACAGTGGAGGAAGTTTTTGTTCAGGGTCTTCATTTTGACGTGTTGCATTGTGTTCTTACTGTTATTGTTGATATAGAGTACTTCTAACTCACATCTTAAATTTGTATAGTCTTAGGTTGTGAGGCTCAAAGAGTCCTAGAAGAAAAGCAACACCAAGACCTGTGGTAACCTGTCCTCTAAGCCACGAGGGAGGTGCCTTGGCCTGTAGCAGTTCCAGATTCCGAGCTCAAGGAATTCAGCTGTTACAAATTGCCTAGCCCAGGGGGTTGAACAGTCAGTGTGCGTTGTATCCTTTTAGAAAAAGGTGTGTACTTTGGGGAGGCCTTTTAGAGAGCTCTTGCCCTGAATCAGGTAGAGCAGGATGTGCTCCCTACCCCCAAAGTCCAGGGAATCAAAAGGAAAAGACTCTGTGGTCACCCATGTTCCTGTCATGTTTAGATAGTGCTCCAAGGCATTACCATGGCTCAGTGTGGTACACTGTCCTGCCCCAACCCGAATCGGAGAACTCAGTACCTTAATTAATACAGTGATACCTCGGTTCTCGAACGCCTCGGATTTCGACCAAATCGGTATTCGACCAGGAGATTCGAGAAACTTTTGTCTTGGAATCCGAACAAATATTTGGAACTCGAACTTCCGAGATGAGCCGAGTTGAGCCGAAAGGCGTTCATTCGGCCCAGCTCGCCTTGCTTGCGTCATCAGCGTGAGTACAGAGAGAGAGTCACGCTTTGTGGAGAGAGTCACGCTTTACACTGAATTTAACCCTTAGACATACTGTACACTTTTATTTCTTGTTGAGACTTATGTTTTTCTACATATTATATACAAATTAGGCCAGTAAATAGGCATTTTCTGGGGCTTGGAACGAATTAATCCAGTTTCCATTATTTCCTATTGGTTTCATTGCTTCGGTTCTCGAACAATTTGGTTCTCGACCGTCCTCCTGGAACGAATTATGTTCGAGAACCGAGGTATCACTGTACCTCAAAGAAATCCTTCCAGGTTCCCCTGAATTTGAGAAGCAACTGAGGCCAAGCGTTTTCAGCAGACACAGATGGGGAGGTAGCAATAGCTTTGATAGTAAATAAAAGGCTGCCCCACCTCTCTCCCGCTGAGGTCCGCCATGACTGGGTGTGCGGGGGTGGGCTGCCTCACTGCCAAGAGTCTTGGCTCCCCGTCAAGCAGGAAGTGTCTGGCCTCACAAGCCAGGGCACAGGGGAACCGGGTCACTGGCAAATGCTGGTAAAGCAAACAGCTTCAACAACAACAAAAGAAAACAGTTACAACTGAGAACAAAACACAGAGCATCAAAGTGCATCCCCAGTGACTCTTATCCATTCCATTCATTCATCATTCCTCCAACAAACTCTTACTGAGTGCCTATTACAGAAATCGGGGTCACATTTTCATCGACATGAAGGTCCATACACCCGCTTGCTGTTTTAAGCTCCTCCCCTCACCGGATGCATGACCTTGAGGGTACTACTTGGGCATGCATCAGCATTTCCACATGCAAGAGGGTGGGAGTCACTCTTAAACGCCAGCTATGGTGTGCAAAGTGCTTTGTGATTCTTACGAGAAAGATGGTCAACTGCTACAGAGAAAAAAATCACAAGTAATTATCCAGAGCATCCCACTGCAGTTGTGACCCTGAGGCCTATTGCAAATCTTTACACCAAAGGTTCCTGAATTAGAAGACCCCATAATACACCCACTGTCCACACTAACTTCTCGTGGGGAGGTCCCACATGGGCACACGGCTCTGTGACAGGCAGCTGCAGTGAGGAGGCTTCATAGTAGTCCCTGGGGAGCAGCACCAGGTAGTCCTAGGAAATAAAGATCAAAAGAGCAATTACTCACTTTGAGGGTGGCCCTACTTTAGAAATAAAATAGACAAACATACTAGCTAATTTAATAACAACCAGGTGAAGCTCATTAGTTAAACTCTGCACATCAGCTGCTTTGTTCCACCCTTGACTCACCAGCACGCGCAAAGAAACTCACACAGGTACCGGAAGATTGGAGACGAGTGCCTCGGGGTGGACCTTGTAATTTTCAAATCTCAGGGGGAAATTTTACTGTCTCTTCTGGGTTGTTTTTAATTAAAAAATAAACAAAGGTAATTACTGTCGATTAATAAAACATTCCTTTGAAATACAGGTGCCGTCATCACTACACAACACTGGGCTACATTTCATTCAGTATGGCTTTTTATTCCCACACTTGAGCAGCGCTCGCCTGGCTTGGTGTAAAATATGGTGTTTTGTGATCCTGGTGAATCATAGACTAAAACTGGCCTACTGCCTGTCCTCGGATAGGAGAGGAAGAACTTGTTCCACTGACTGTGCCAAATGAAGCCCACAATGTAAATTCAGCTATGCGCTCTTCAGGAAAGAGCAGAGCTCCCGGTTTCTAGTGGTGGATGGTTTGACAGTTTACAGTAATCCTGGCATCACTGCTAATCTGCAGAGAGAAGGATGGAACGTTTGCAACTGTGAAGAGACTCATACACAGGCCATAAGGCTTTTTCTCTCCTCAGAGCCCCTAATTTGTCTGGAATGAAGAAGAGGAGAAATGTATGGGGAGGACGAAGTAGCATATGCTGACTCAGGGGGCTCAGTGGTCCACCATAGTGGCCTTAGTACCTGAATGAGTTTTCTTTTTTTATTAATTAATTTTTGTTACAGATGTTTCTCCTTTTTCCCCCACTGATTCCCCCCTCCCCCTCCTCCCTCCCTGCCCTGTCCCCAGCTTTGTTGTCCATGTCCATTGTTCATGCATAAGTTCTGTGGTTTATCTCTCCCCTACCACCCCCTCTTCTGGGGATTGTCAGTCTGTACCCCACTTCCACGTCTCTGGGTCTACCCTATTCCTCAGACTGTTATGTTCATTATATTCCACAAATAAGTGAGATCATATGATACTTGTCTTTCTCTGTTTGGCTTGTGTCACTTAGGATGATACTTTCCAGGTCCCTCCATGTAGCCTCAAAGGATAAGAGATCTTTCTTTCTTACAGCTGCGTAGTACTCCATTGTGTATATGTACCACTGCTTTTTTATCCATTCGTCTACTGATGGACACTTGGGCTGTTTTCAGATCTTAGCTATTGTAAATAGTGCTGCTACAAACATGGGGGTACATATATTCTTTCTGATTGGTGTTTCAGGCTTCTTAGGGTACATTCCTAGAAGTGGGATCACTGGGTCAAATGGAAGTTCAATTTTTAATTTTTTGAAGTAACACCATATTGTTTTCCATAGTGGCTGCACCAGTCTGCATTCCCACCAGCAGTGTACTAGGGTCCCCTTTTCTCCACACCCTCGCCAACACTTGTTGTTTGATGATTTGTTGATGGCGGCCATTCTGACAGGTGTGAGGTGGTACCTCATTATTGTTTTAATTTGCATCTCTCTGATGATTAGTGATGTTGAGCATTTCTTCATATGTCTCTTAACCATTTGTATGTCCTGTTTGGAGAGGTGTCTATTTAGTTCCTCTGCCCATTTTTTAATTGGGTTCTTTGTCTTCCTTTTGTTGAGTTGTATGAGTACTCTCTATATATTGGAAATTAACCCCTTATCTGATGTATCATTGGCAATTATGCTCTCCCATACAGTGGGTAGCCTTTCCGTTTTGATGATTGTATCTTTTGCTGTGCAGAAGCTTTTGAGTTTGATGTAGTCCCATGTGTTCATTTTCTCCTTTGTTTCTACTGCCTTAGGTGATGTATCAGTGAAAATTCTGCTGTGTATGATGTCTGAAATTTTGTTGCCTACATTTTCATCTAGGATTTTTATGGATTCATGAGTCACATTTAAGTCTTTTATCCATTTTGAGTTTATTCTTGTGTAGGGTGTAAGTTGATGATCTAGTTTCATTTTTCTGCATGTAGCTGTCCAATTTGCCCAACACCATTTATTAAAGAGGCTATCCTTACTCCACTGTATGCTCTTGCCACCTTTGTCAAATATTAATTGAGCATATTGCCTTGGGTCCATTTCTGGGTTCTCTGTTCTGTTCCATTAGTCTATATGCCTGTTCTTGTGCTAGTACCAGGCTGTTTTGATTACAGTGGCTTTGTAGTATAACCTGAAATCTGGTAATGTGATCCCTCCAACTTTGTTCTTCTTTTTCAAGATTGCTGTGGCTAGTCGAGGTCTTTTTTGGTTCCATATGAACTTTTGAAGTACTTGTTCTAATTCTGTGAAGTATGCCGTTGGTATTTTGATGGGGATTGCATTGAATCTATAGATTGCTTTGGGTAATATGGACATTTTAATGATGTTAATTCTTCCAATCCATGAACAGGGTATGTGCTTCCACTTTTTTATATCTTCCTCTATTTCTTTTTTCAATGACCTGGAGTTTTCTGCAAATAGGTCCTTTATTTCTTTGGTTAAGTTTATTCCTAGGTATCTTAATTTTTTTGCCGTAATGGTAAATGGGATTGTTTTCTTAGTTTCTCTTTCTGTGAGTTCATCATTGGTGTATAAGTATGCCATCGATTTCTTGACATTAATTTTGTATCCTGCTACTTTTCCAAATTCATTTATTAAGTCTAGTAAATTTTTGATGGAGTCTTTGAGGTTTTCTACATATAGTATCATGTCATCTGCAAATAATGACAGTTTCCCGTCCTCCTTTCCAATTTGGATCCCTTTTATTTTTTGCTTCCTGTCTGATTGCTGTGGCTAAGACTTCCAGTACTATGTTAAATAAGAGTGGTGAAAGTGGTCATCCTTGCCTTGTTCCTGTTCTTAAGGAAAATGCTTTCAGTTTTTGCCCATTGAGTATGATGTTGGCTGTAGGTCTTTCATATATGGCCTTTATTATGTCGAGATATGATCCCTCTATTCCCACATTGCTGAGCGTTTTTATCAGAAATGCGTGCTGGATTTTGTTGAAGGCTTTTTCGGCATCTATTGATATGATCATGTGGTTTTTATTCTTCATTTTATTTCTGAATGGGTTTTAATTTAATAATGGTTATTATTCTATGAGTACATTTCCTTAGGTTGGGACCTTATCTCCTGATTCTTTTACAGTACCATAGATCCTAGAACAGTAAAGCTTGGTAATAGGTGCTCAATAAAATATTTTTAGAGTAAATAGGATCATACTATGGATGGATACATATGGATTACTACACGGTTGCATTAAATGTCATAAAAATCTTCCATGCCTATGCAGTAACTTTTGTAATAATGAAATTTATCTTTCCATTAGTCCAACTTTATGTACCCATTATTGGCCTCAGTGGAATTTTCCTATTCCTCATTTCTAGCATCTGTGAAACATTCTTAAACTCTTTCTTAAAGCAACAACACGGAGGAGAAGAAAATGGTGGCAGACTGAATGGAAGCTACACAGACCACCTTCCAGGATCAAACTGGAATTACAGCTAAAATAAAGACAAGTCACCTGGACAAACCAATCGAAGAGCAGCTAGAGAGAACCCGTATAACCAGGGACATAAAGAGGACCCCAAATTGAGACTGGTAGGAGCTGTGGAGACACAAGAGGGCTGGCTGGGTGCCCATGGGCAGCAGCTGAGGGCTGTCTTAGCTGTGAGCAATTCCCTCTGAGAATTTGGGGGTTAAAACCCCAAGCCAGATTCCCAGCACAGAGTAGCAGAATAGGGAAAGGCAACCACATAACACTTGGCTGAGAAAATCTCCAGAGCAGAGGTTTTGTCCAGCAGAGAGAGGCACAGGGAGCACCAGCACTTCCCGGAAGGGCCAGTGCACTAAATTATAGCTACAGCCACTCACCTTGGGCTCCAGCAAAGGGAGGGCAGACTGGACTGGAGCTGTGTGAGGAGAGTCAGGGGTTTGTGGCACTGGGAAGAGAGCTGGGAAGGAGGACATCAGGAGCTCTATGCTGAGTCACTCCCCCAGAAGACAGTAGCCATCTTCCTCAAGAAGTCCCTTCCCAGAGTGGTCTTAACCCTGGGGGAGAAGCAACTGCCCCTCCGTCGGAAATTTAACACCACATGTCCCAGAGTAGTGCAACCTGAGGCTCATTAACAACCAGAGACTACAGGATATTGGAAAAAGAAATAGAGGAAGAGAAAAAAAAGTGGAAGCATATACCATGTTCATGGATTGGAAGAATCAACATCATTAAAATGTCCATACTACCCAAAGCAATCTACAGAGTCAATGCAATCCCTATTAAAGTACCAATGGCATATTTCACAGATCTTGAACAAATACTCCAAAAGTTTATATGGAACTACAAAAGACCTGAATAGCCACAGCAACCTTGAAAAAGAAGAAAAAGTGGGAGGAATCACAATACCAGATATGAAGTTATACTACAAAGCCATTGTAATCAAAAAAGCCTGGTTCAGCACAAAACAGGCATATAGATCAATGAAATAGAACAGGGAACCCAGATATTGACCCAAGACAGTATGCAGAACTAATATTTGACAAAGGAGGCAAGAGTATATAATGGAGAAAAAGCAGTCTCTTCAATAAATGATTTTGGCTTGCCCAGCTGGTGTGGCTCAGTGGTTGAGCATTGAACCATGCATCAAGAGGTTGCCAGTTCGATTCTCAGTCAGGGCACATGCCCCGGTTGAGGGCCAAATCCCCAGTGTGGGGCATGCAGGAGGTGGCCAGTTGATGTTCTCTCTCATCGATGTTTCTATCTCTCTCTCTTTTCTTCTCCCTTCCTCTCTCTAAAATCAATAAAGAAAAATAAAATAAATAAATAAATAAATAGTGTTGGGAAAATTGAACAGCTACATGCAAAAAAATGAAACTAGACCACCAACTTACACCATACACAAGAATAAGCTCAAAATGGATAAAAGACTTAAATCTAACTCATAAAACCATAAAATTTCTAGAAGAAAATGTAGGCAGAAAAATCTCATCATACATAGTGGAATTTTCACTGATACATCATCTAGGGCAAGAGAAACAAAGGAAAAAATTAATAAATGGGACTACATCAAACTAAAAATCTTCTGCACGGCAAAAGAAACCAGCATCAAAAGAAAAGGGAACCCACTCTCTGGGAGAATATATTGGCCAAAGATACATCAGATAGAAGGTTAATATCCAAAATATAAACAGTACCCATACAACTCAACAAAAGGAAGACAAAGAATCCAATTAAAAATCGGGCAGAGGACCTGAATAGACACTTCTTGAAACAGGACATACAAATGGCCAGGAGACATATGAAAAAATACTCAATGTCTCTAATTGTCAGAGAGATGCAAATTAAAATGACTATGAAGTATCACCTCATACCAGCCAGAATAGTGGCCATCAACAAATCCTCAAACAACAAGTGCTGGCGAGGATGTAGAGAAAAGGATACTCGAGCACACTGCTGGTGGGAATGCAGACTGGTGCAGCCACTATGGAAGACAATATGGCGTTTCCTCAAAAAATTAAAAATGGAACTGATATTTGACCCAGTGATCTCACTTCTTGGAATATATCCTAAGAAGCCTGAAACACCAATCAGAAAGAATATATGCTGATTTTTTTTTAGATGCCCATCTGATTCATGATGAAAACTCCAGAAGAAATGTTTGAAAGGCTAGGACATATGTTCATCAAGGTTTTGCATTTATTTTGATAACTTCAAGTCATTGTGAGTTATAATTTGGTATGTTTTTTGTCTCTGAGAAGCTGGCTGGAAGACAATAGAAGATATTTTAAGTTGGTTCCTATGTCATTTACTCATGTGAGGGCAAATGTCACATAGGTTTCTATGTCTAAAAGGAAACCAGCTATGATTTTGATATCTTATAGTCACTGTGGGTCACTAGAGATGGAACCATGGTGGGGGGGGAGGGCAGATAATCTCTACTCAGAACTACTGCTTACCAGGAGGACTCCCTCTGCCTTAATGCAAGCAATCCATGTCCCTGGTGCAACTGAAAAGGCGTCTGCCAAACCATTTCCAGGGACGGTGACAAAAGCTGGCTCCTTACTGGGCAGGAAGATGATCTCTTTGCTTTGAGCAACACCTATCAGAAATAAAAAGAATTGCTTAGGGCATTTTTCTAGCAGTCAGTGTTATGATTTTAGATAATCAGTTTTGAACATTCAGTTTACATATGAAAAAGTGTAGGATGATTTACTGGTCATATGTACAGACCTCTTTTTTTTTAAATTGTGTGAATGCATGTGCATATGTATAAAATAGACTAGAAAGATATTGGTAAGATGTTAGCAGTGATTATTTATGCTAGGATTGTGAGTCATCTTTTATTTGTTAAACGATTAAGTATATTAATTCAGATAAACTGTCTAAAAAAGTTCTTGGAGCCCGGCTGGTGAGGCTCAGTGGTTGAGCGTCGACCCATGCACCAAGAGGTCGCCAGTTCGATTCCCAGTCAGGACACATGCCCAGGTTGTGGGCCTGATCCCCAGTGGGGGGCATGCAGTAGGTGGCCAACTGATGTTTTCTCTCATCGATGTTTCTGTCTCTCTCTCCCTCTCCATTCCTCTCTCTCTAAAATCAATAAGTAAATAAAAATTTTAAAGAAAAGTTCTTGGCATATTTTTTAATTGTCAAATGAAATATAGTTATAATTCACAAGAAAAAATAAAGTAGATAAACACAATAAAACTCAATATCACAAGCACTCAAATAAGTGAAAATCAAAATAAGGACATCATATAATTTTCACCTGTTAAGTCGGCAGAGTTCTGTAGTAGTGACCAGGCATGTTGGACATGGAACCAGCAATGTGGTAACAACCAGATAGAAGGGGCATTGGTACTAGTTTTGTGGAAACCATTTTGACAATTTCAAAGTTCTTAAAACACCTTCTTACCAAATGGCCCAATGATTCGACTTCTGAAATCTGTCCTGTGGAAGTGTTTTAAAATGTAGGTAAAAACTTTGTGGTGGAGATTTTCACAGCTGCATGGCAGTAAATAGGAAAAAGAGTAGAAACACCCTCAATGTCTAATAGTGGAGGAAAGAAAGTAACGCAAGGCGCAGCTGTATAGTGGGATCATGTGGGGCCACTCAGTGACATGGGGAAGGTTAGGAAGCAGGATAAAAGTCTGGAGGTCAAGTATGATTTCAACTAAGTTTAAAAAACGGGCATGGGGCCCTGGCTGGTTTGGCTCAGTGGTTATACAGGTTATTATATTGACTTTTTAAATGCCAGTTAATGATCAATGTAATAGCAAAATGTAAATAAGCAGAATATTTAGAAACTGAGAAAGAAGCACAGGACCAGGCACTTGGAGCATTGTCCTAATCAGACCACGACCAGGCGTCACATTTTCTAAGGAGGCGACTTTGTGAAAGCTGGAGAAAATGTTTCACCCGTTAATCATTTCTTGATCAACAAGAGGCTTGAAAATGTACCTACCTGTGTTAGCCCGGGATGGATAAATAGTCACATGGCCAGCTACTGCTTCAGTTCCAGGGTTAATATATCTCAAAATAACTCGAAACAAAGAGAGACTTGACGTCCCCACATTCAGCGTGACCCTTACTTCATTCTGAAAAATACCAAAGGCCATAAAGTATAGAAGAGACAACATGTTAAAAGAAATGCTAGCCAAACCGTGACTTCATTCAAGTTCCACTGCTGGGCTTGCAGTGTACACACACAAACACACAAATACACACACATTCAACAAGCACCAAGTAACTGACTCTATGGCAGATGGAAACAGGCAGGCCTAACAATAAACCAAAATCACTTACAATTAAAGGTACAGTGAAAACGTACTCCCTCGCCACTGAGATCCTCTTTTGACCTTTTTGTAATCAGGCAGACAGAGTAGAATATAGGTGGACTAGTTAGGAAAAGCCACAGTGACAGAGGCGAGCACCACTGGCTGGGAGAAATAAACAGGTGGAAGAGAAAGAAAGGAAAGTGTATTATTTACTATCCCCAACCCCATGGAGAGACCACTCCCGGGTCTACCTCACATACAAAAAATTCTAACTGGTCACAGAAATCAGTGGTGGCTAAGAAGAGGTTATAGACCTCAAACATGTTAGTGATGAAATCTGGATATAACTAAAATATGCTTACTAAGTCATATGAAATTTATCTCAGTCCCCATCGAAGAAGAATAGGGCTTTTTAGACTGGTGTATGTGACGTGGTCCTGTTGTCCAAACCCACCCTGGTGCTCACTCAATGGTCTGTCTGTGCTGCTGAGCCCATGATGTTAAGGAAAGAGTAGACTATTTTAAGTCTGAACCACAGACTACATGTTCACATCCAACTGTGGTCCAAGGAAAGTTCATGAAACTTGGAAATTTCCAAAGCAGTGGTTCTTTTGGTTTCTCCACAGCTCTTTTGGTTAAAACAAAGGGCACATTTATTGAAGGATACATCTGTGACATAAAAGACTGACTGGGCAGAATCCCTTGTTCTGGGAGCAGGGCTGCAGCTGACCCACACTGAGGAGCTCCAGCTGGGCCTCAGCATGACCGACTTCATCTTTTAATATTAGCTCCCAGGTGAAAAATAAAAATGCAAAAATATATTAGGAGCAGAGTCAAGTTAGTGGTGATTTGAGCAACACTACCAAGGTCCTCTGACTAAAAATACTTGCAGAGAATTCATCATTGGAAAGTCATTCCCTAGTGTTAAGCAGCTATTCTTGCAAACTCTAAACACCTTGGGAAGGTGTATATTGGGCTCTCAGTCATAAACATCCTGTTATGACTCAATGGAATCCACTGCTTTTTTCTGAATAATGAAGTAGGAACATGGAACTAAAGATACTGAATTGGCCCGGCCGGTGTGGCTCAGTGATTGAGCATTGACCCATGCACCAAGAGGTCACCGGTTTGATTCCCAGTCAGGGCACATGCCCAGGTTGTGGGCCTGATCCCCAGTGGGGGGCATGCAGGAGGTGGCCAGTCGATGTTCTCTCTCATTGATGTTTCTGTCCCTTCCTCTCTCTTTAAAGTCAATAAAGAAGAAAAAAAGAAATTAAAGAAACAAAATTGCTGTATCTGGGAAGGAGAAACAGTGAGGTGTCTTAAGGTCCTCGTGACTGTTTGGGAAAGGCAGCCTGGCTGGGGACTTTTGCTCCGGCAAGAGCAGAGTTAGAATCAGTGGGGGCTGATGGTCAAGTTTCTCTAAGGGCTAGATGAGGTAGAAATAGCTAGTTCTGGATGTGTGAAGGACATGCATCGGGTTGCCGTGGTCATCAGTTTGTCTCTTTTATTCTGGATTTCTCCACTGAGAAATAGCTGGAAGAGACCAGCCTCAAAGAGAAATTCTGAGAACAAAAATACTCAATGACTAAACAGAAAATTTTCATTTTAAATATTAATTTCTAAACGTAACATGTAAATTCCTTACATATTCCAATACAAAGCCCAGAAACATGGATACAACAGAGCAATGTGGGAGAGAAAAATTAAATAGCACTGACTAAAATTCCTCATTTATCTTAGTTTATATTTATATAGTAATTCAGAGTTTTAAAATGTAAAAAAAAAAAAAATCATTAGTCAAAAATTAGCAACACAAGCTTTATTGGAATTATTTAAGTCAACTTATTTTTATTTTTCACAAGTGGCTTAAAGAAAAAAATGTCTCTTGTGTTAAAATATAGCCTAATCTTGTTTGGGAAATTACCTATAAAATGTCTCCAGAGATAAGCACCATTTTTAATCCCCTCATTTTCTGATTTGGTGACCAAATTAAAGTAACAAGAAACTGTGATATTGATATATATGTTTATCAGTTAAAATCCAACCCTAGCCCTAGCCAGGTGGCTCAGTTGGTTACAGGGTTGTCCTGTACACCAAAAGGTTGTGGGTTCGATTCCCAGTCAGGGCACACACCCAGCTTGTGGGTTTGATCACCAGTCACGGCATGTTCAAGAGGCCACTGACTGATGTTTCTCTCTCACATTTATGTTTCTTTCTCTCTCCCTTCCACTCTCTCTAAAATCAATAAAATCATATCCTTGGGTGAGAATAAAACAAACAAACAAACAAATAAAATCCAACCCTACAGGGCCCCATTTATATTTTTTTTTTTTTTTCCAGGATAAAAATAATCTTGGAATCCATTTGGGGGACAACTCACCTATTGGGGGACTCACTGAGAGTGCTGTGTGTAAATATATGGGCTCCTCGGCCGTGAAGCTGTTCCCTGCTGGCTACCCACCTGCACAGAGCTCATCTGAGCGTATCCTCTCCAGCTAAACCCAGGAAACTCCAGGGGGTCAAATCCAAATCGAAGTTCTCTTCCATTAGGGGTAGTGCCATCTTCAATCTCATACTTCATATGATGCAAATCCGGGAAGTAGTAGTTGCTTTCAGGTCTTTTATAAACAAAAAGTAAACATGGATACCGCAAGTTAGATTCATTGATCATCTGAATATCCTTTAGCGCCAATAACTACTACTAAAAGAACTCCCACCAAACTGACAGAACAGCCAGATCAATACCATCCACCTACAAGGAGTAATGGCTAGTTCATGACCACTCTAAGACAAAAGCTGCAGCACCTGACAGAGTGCAAACTGAGAGAGGCCCACAGCGTTTTCTCTAAATGATTGCTTCCACTCACGTAAGCATTCACATAAAACACACCCAACACCTACTTGTTCTAACCAGTAAAATGAGAAAATCATTTAACACAACACATGGTGGTGACATCTTTTAAAACATTCTCAGTGGTGCCCGGCTGGTGTGGCTCGGTGGTTGAGCATCGGTCCATGCACCAAGAGGTCGCTGGTTCAATTCCCAGTCAGGGCACATGCCCGGGTTGTGGGCCAAATCCCCAGTGGGGGGCATGCAGGAGGCGGCCAATTGATGTTCTCTCTCATCGATGTTTCTATCTCTCTCTCCCCCTCCCTTCCTCTCTCTCTAAAATCAATAAAGAAAAAAAAAAGTTCTCAATGGGTGCTAACAACTTAGCAAAGTTAAATTAGGTTATTTACTCTAAATTCATTTATTCACTCATTCATCACTTATCAACTCATATTCACTCATTAGACAAATATTAATATCTATAGAACTGTTGCTAAGCACTCCAGATACAATAGTGAGCATGACAAAATATTTTATATGCTGTTTACAAATTAGATACATTTCTATTTATATATATTTTTATCATTACAGTGACTTTTCTATGCCTCATTTTCTCTTAAATTATATGCCTATAAGCAGATTCCTTTCAAGAGTCCAATAATGGCAATCACAGAGGAGGATCAAAAATATTACAGCACTTGTGTGACATTTTAAATTCAAACTACTTGGAGTTCTTCAAAAAGGCGCATTTTGACAATCCAGTCAAAACTAATAGCAGCTAGTAGATGTAAAGCCATAAAGATCATTTAGTGAAAGGAAATACAAGGGCATGCTCCTATATTGCAAGTGGAATTGGGAATGCTTACAATTTTTCTGGAGGATATTTACAAAGATCCTTAAAAATGTTCATGCCCCTTGACTCGGTAATCCCACTCCCAGGAATATATTCTAAAGAATGATTTTGTATATAATGTCAAAGAATTAACATAAAAGATGTTTATAATAGTAAAAACTTGGAAACAACATAAGTGTTGTTTTGTACAAAAATGTACAATTATGAAATAATTAAAGAAATTATGAAATATTATGTAACCATTCATAATGTAACCATTCCATAACTTACTGATCATGGAAATACTTATCATATCATGTGAACAAATTGATACAAATGATATGAAAAATATAATACTAATATAATATAATACTAATTTTTATTTATAAAGGCTATAAAATATACAAAAATATTAAAGGGGGTTCTCTCTGTGTGGGAATAAAGATTGTTTAAATAGTGAAGGTACTTGAGATTCAGCAGTTCTTGCATTTCACAGCATTTCCAGTGTACGATTAAAAGTCAGCATATTACACAGTTGTCTTTTCTTTCCTCCACCAGGATAAAATTATGGATGGATCATGGTTCCAAAAATAGATATCAATTGCTAAACACGCCAGGGCGAAGAGACAGTTTGCTGTCCCACTTGCTATAGTCGCTCTGGGATCTTTGCTTCTGCGGTTCATTTTAACCTGCTTCTGTGTGAGATGAGGGGCTTTTCCCACTCCTGAGGTTTTCTTATCCCCCACCCTGCCATGAGTAACACACCGGCCTCTCCAGGACCCCACTGCCGGGTCCAGGAGCCCGCCTGTGTGCCCAGTCCCTCCGTGCTCTGACTGTTACGTGGAGGGGCCGCTCTAGTCTCGCCCACCTGACCCGTTGTACCTGGGGGAACTTCCCAGTGAGGCTGCTCCATGCCCTGCAGAGTGGAACAGTTTTTATAAGCAACCTTGCCTCCTGTTTTCATTGGACTCACTGACAAGTGTCCAGATTACAACTGACAGTGCACCTTCCTCTACCTCTGTCCGTAGGCTCCTCTCCACACCCAGACTGTCAGCACAGACAGGACTCTGAGAGTCCTCCCCAACATCAGCGGGGGGAGCAACCGCCCCAAGACTCACCGCTGGCACGCCTGCCCCACGACGTGTTCTCGGCACTGGCATGCTCCGGAGGGCCCACTGCACATGGGGGTGACTGCTCCACCAATGTCACACCGACACCCTGAAAGTCAGGAAACAGCAGCGGTTACCCAGCCAAGCACCTCCACGCCGGACGCTTTCCCTGCCACTAGAAGTGGAAATCAGTAGGCCCAGGGTCATTGTGCCCTGCCTTCTTCCCCGTTTCTTATATCTGGCAGGTGTTTGAAATAGGTATGAACCTCCCAAACTGAGATGGCATGACCCTCAAGAGTCCACTAGCAAGTTGGAGATGACGTGTAGCCAGCTCCAACACGGTTGTCCAAGGTAAGGGGACAGTAGCCCAGGAACTAGAAATGATTCAGCAACATAGCACTGTACACAATGTGTGCGAACGAGCGTAGCTTTGTAGGACACCCGCTCCCATAGTTTTATTGTTTAAAACACTATAATCTCTAAAAACCTGGCGTGAGTGTTTTTGAGAATACAAAATATATCTTTAACATAAAACCTCGATGCTATTTCCAATGACTTTGCCCATCCCAATCATGTTTTTTATAATTAAACCCGCAGTGTGCTGTTTTTACTAGTTACAGCTGAAAGTTTGGCCGAATTCCCTGGATAGGATTTTTCAGTCCCGCGCCATGGGAAAGTGTGCGGGAAGACAGGAATTCAGAATAAAGGTACCCTGACAGTCTTTGTCCATCAGCGCTTCTGTTTTCCTCAGGACCCACCGGATGTATTTACCTTGACACCCAAAGTAATGGCTGTTTTCCAAAGCAAAATATCCATCTTCGCATGTGTCACAGGAATCGCCGCCAACGTGGGATTTGCAGTGACAGTCGCCGTCTCGCTGCAGAACAATCAGGTGACAAAATTGGATTAAGAATTCACTAAGCTGCAAGGTTTAAAACTGGCTCACTGTGTAATATGAAGCCGTGTAGTCAGGATCTAAAAGTATCCAAAAAGATGACCACACACAGTACGATCACAGACGCGCTAATACCCTCCCACAGAAAGTCCACAATCAATTGCTACTGGTATCATATGAAAAAGCGGCTCACGTTACCTGCCCACACTCTCTAATTCCGCTCACTGTTCCCGCCACATGGCACTGGCATTCTGTGAAGACAAGAGAAAGTCCTTGGACCAAGGTTGTGCAAAAGACCGTTCCCCAGCTCTGGGAACACACCAGACCAGCGACACCACCTGTGCCGTCAGTTCCTAGCGTGCTGAAGGGAAGTCAGTTCGCACTGTTGAAGCCTAAGACTGGACTGATTTCTGGAATCAGAACAGCCAGATCAATACCATCCACCTACAAGGAGTAATGGCTAGTTCACGACCACTCTAAGACGAAAGCTGCAGCACCCTGGGGTTTTTAAATGAGTCTAATGTCAAGGTCATTACTGATATGCTTACATGAAAATGTATTCTATTTAAGGATAGTCACTCCACTTAGCCACCTTTAGCTTGATGTTTTTGAGTCCTATCCTGGCTTCAATCTAAGCATAAAATGGAAACAAAATTCAATCAGAAAGAATGGATTACAAAAACAAGGCTGTAAAATCCATTTATCAAGTGGCCGCCTTCCCAAACAACACAATACCTATGGAAACAGGATATAAATCCCTTGCCGAGATTTTGAAAATGACAGAAGTTCTGCCAAAAGTGAGTGTGTGTGTGTGTGTGTGTGGGGGGGGGGACAGACATCAAAATTTCAGACAAAGTAAACTGACTAAATAAATGGCTCTTTTGTGGGTTTAGTCACTGAGACAGAGAAAATCACAAGGAAGCTACAATATAGTAAAGTATTATGCATAGAAAACTTTACCTGAACATCCACTGGGGTTTTCTTTGGCCAGATTCCAGTATAATGGTTTACAGGTGTTGCAGGTAGGGCTCTCAACATGAAGCTTACACTGGCAATATCCCTTTAAGAGAAAATCAAGCTGAGATTTGACATCTCAGAATTTAGACATGTTTCAAACATGTGTTCTGAAAGCTTGTCACAGAAATATATTGTGATCATGAAAAGTACATTAACTGTACTCAAGGGGAATAAAAATACTGGGATGATTTCAACAGTCTGCTTAATTTCTTTTGTTTTATTATTCATTTATTTGTTATACACATAACCCATACTTCTGGTTGAAACAATTGGAAAATACAGAAAAAAAATTAAAATCGTTGTGATTTATGACATTGTCATTGTTGATTCTATTAAAGCCTGGACTATAAATTTAAATGGAAAAATATCTGAACACTTAACATGTGAGAATCAGTAGAAAAATGTGTTCATCTGGAAGTTTTGTAACATGGAAGAGTCACGTCTTACTTAAATATCATCAAGACTCATAGGAAGGATGCAGAACCCTCCCCACTATCCCTCAGGGGCTAAGGAGACAGATAATTTCTAATGCACTTAGAAAACTAATCAAAATATTGTAGTATTGTCTTGGAGTAATATCAAATACATTACAATCACTTTGCACTCAGACAGCTTTATTTAATATGAAATTAGCCTTCGGTTTTCTTAATTTTAATTATGTATGTCAGGCTTATGCGCAGGCAATGCCCTCAGAGTAACCAACAACAGTTAAAATCTAGGACTCTAGAATTCAAAGTTTACATAAACCGATTCTTTTGGTTCTTTAAAAAAAAAAACAATATCACATATGCAGTTTGAAAATGAGCAATGATCTCTAAGCAATTTGGCCTCTTGCCTTATTTTAATTTACTTTTAATTTCAGGAAGCTCCCAATGTGTTGGTCTTTAAACAGAATAATAGAATTGCAAGCCTTTTATAATTCTCCACTTACCAAACCGGAGTCCAGGGTACCAGCCAGGTCACAGGAACTGTGGGAGCCTGCATGCAATTCAGAAGTGTGTTCAATTGTAGGTTTTAACGTTTATTTGTTTGTTCCTTTGTTTTTATGTTTTGAGTTTTAAAAGTTTTACTTGTTTTTAAAAATAATGCATCTACATTTATATTTTTTGATATATGGGAGGCAAGGATATTGCATGTAATTCAGAAAAAGCCACTCCAAATAACCTTTATCGTCTTAATTTCCAAATCACTCCCTTTGCCTCTGAACAACTCAAGTACCTGCCCACAACTAAAAGTTCATTTCTTCTTTTAAATTTTATTTTTCAACTACAGTTTGCATTCAATATTATTTTGTATTAGTTTCAGATATACGGCATAGTGGTTAGACAATCATATACTTTATCAAGTGTTCTCCCCACCCCAATATTTCCAGTACCCACCTGGCACCATACGTGACTATTTTGTAACTACAAATTTTTATTTCTTAATCCCTTCGCCTTTTCCACCCAGCTCCCAACCCCCATCCCTTCTGGCCACCATCGGTCTGTTCTCTGTATCTCTGAGTATGTTTCTGTGTTGTTTGCTTGTTTGTATTGTCCTTTAGATTCCGCATATAAATGAAATCATAGAGCATTTGTCTTTCTCTGACTGACTTAATTCACTTATCATAATACCCTCTAGGCCCATCCATGCTGTTGCAAATGGTGAGATTTTGTTATATTTTTATAGCTGAGTAACATTCCATTGTACATATGTGCCACAACTTCTTTATGCACTTGTCTATTGATGGGCACTTGGGTTGCTTCCATAGCTTGGCTATTGTAAATAACACTGTAACAGACATAGGGCACAAAGGACCCCAAATAGCCATAGCACTCATGATGAAGAAGAACAAAGCTGAAGGTATCATGCTACCTGATATCAAACAATACTACAAGGCTACAGTAATAAAAAACAACATGGTATTGGCATGAAAACAGACACATAGATCAATGAAACAGAATAAAGAGCCCAGAAATAAACCCATGACTACATGGTCAATTAATATTTGACAAAGGAAGCAAGAATATACAATGCGGTAAAGACAGTCTATTCAATAAATGGTGTTGGGAAAATAGGACAGATGTATGCAAAAAATAATAAAACTAAAACTAGACACCATCTTAGACAATATATAAGAGTAAACTCAAAATGAACTAAAGACTTAAAATGTAAGACTTAAAACCATAAAACTCCAAGATGAAAACATAGGCAATCTCTGAAATTTCTCTTAGCAATATTTTTTTCTGATATATCTCCTCAGGCAAGGGAAACAAAAGAAAAAATAAATAAACGGGACTGCATCAACCTAAAAGGTTTTTGTACAGCAAAGAAACCATCACCAAAATGAAAGACAGCCTACTGAATGAAGAAGATATTCACCAATAGATTCATCCGATAAGGGTTAATATCCAAAATTAACTGGGGGAAAAGAGATGCTAGAATTTTGAGCATTTTTAGGATTGTCCAGAAGAGGGCAATATTGTACCAAGAGACTTTTTTAATCGCTTGATTAAAATGTTCCAGAATTTGAGTACATTTTTCAGTTAACCAAGATCTAATTCTCTAAATATCACAATCCTCTTGTTCCCCCCCTTCAATACAAATATTTATAAAACTAGTTTGTTTTGCTGTCTTAGTCAATATAGTATGACAAGCCCAATATAACCTCTCTTTAATAAATTGCTATCTTATAGTCTCTCGGTCTTACTATTATACAGCGTTAAAAATGAAGAGAGGTTGGGTAAGCCTGCTCTGAACCTGGTTTATCCAATAATTTAAAATTTTGGTAAATCTATAATATGATTTTGTTTTCTTACAAGTTATACCTTAGATATTTCTGCCTTTATGTTCTCCTCTTGGTCTATTTCCGCTTCTTCCTTAATGATATTCACAATCTCTCTCTCTTTCTCCTCTTTTCTTTTCTCTTTTGATGTTCCCTCACCTTCCTCTTCAATAGTCAACACAATCTTCCCACTGTTTGTGGTTTCCCAGCTCTGGCTCCTCCCAGGCTGACCAATGTTGCCATCTGGCTCTGAAGCAGCTGTGTGGCTGCCCAGCCCCGCCGCCTGTGGCCACAGCAGTCCGCACAGCCTTCCCTTCCACTCCTGACCCCGTGGAGGCCAGCAGTCCCAGCTCCAGACAGCCTTGCGCTCTGGGGACCTTCAGGCTTCTCAAAGGCAAGCAGCACCCTCTGACTGCTGGCTACAATTTTTATCAGCAAAAAACCCTGGTCTCTGGAGGATTCTGGGGAGTCGGGTTCTGGGGAGTCCAGTTTGAGCTTAGCCCTGACTTCAGATAGCTCTGAATGCAAGGCTCCAGGAGCTGTCAGGAGACAGAAGCGGTCTAAGAAAGCCACGTTCTCCTGATGGGAAGACATTCAGCCTTCCACAAACACCTCTTTTCAATAGGGAAAGGGTCCTATGAAAGCCACAGTCAGGAGCTACTTGCCACGGGAGGCTGCACAACCTGGAACATAGTGAGATTCCGTGGGCATCTTACATCCGTGACCTTGGCCATGGAGCATGCAGATGCTCAATCTCTTATCAATCAGGGGATGATGTTTCCTCCTTGTCTCACTCTTTCCAAACCAAATAGACCCTGGTTCACCCCCAGGTATGAGGCCCCTGCTCCTCACACCTATGCTGATGTATGATGACACAGTTCCCCAGGAGGCCAGTAGTGGGGCAAGGAGGGAGGGACAGAACCCAGCGAAGGCCCTGCTCTGCCCGCCCATGGGGGGACCTGTTGGAGCACCCCTCAGGGGATTAAGAAGCAGCCGACATCAGTGCCGCAGCCCGGATCGAAAGAGAAGCTAGGCCACCTTGGGTCAGGGAAAAGGGACACAGGGCTTAGCTAAAAGGGGTCATCTTTATCACACAGAGAATTTACATGCAAATCAAGAAACAGAAATTTATAGCACATGAGTTTGTTTGTTTTTAATTTTAGGTATAAATCATTTTGGAGTCCTTAGAGAATGCATATCTGAAAATGCATATGCATTTTCAATGGACTCGAATTGGGGGGGAACCAGGCAGATTAGGTTCAAACGTAGATGTGACCAGTGATGGGTCTGTGGGGGGTTGCAGGCTGCTCTGTGAGGTTTGCTGCATATACTTCAGAGAGGAACCCACCCCCAACATTCTGATGTCTTCCTTACCTTGGCAATGGGGGAAATCATAGGCTCCTGAGAGACACCTGTCACAGCGCTGTCCTGTAATCCCCGGCCGGCAGTCACACTGTCCAGTCACTGGGTTGCAGGGCGTCTGGTAGGAGCCAAGGGCTGAACACTGGCAGGCTGGGCGAAAAGACCTCAGTCAGACTCAGGTGGTGGGGAATAGGACCCGGATAAGAGCACGGGGTGGGGGCCAGAAAGCCAAACGCAAGTTCCAGCTCCACCTCTTTTTAGACCCAGGACCAGAAACAATTTGGCCAAATGCCCAAAAGTCTCAGTTTCCTCCTCTGTAAGCGGAAATGATACCAGTGTCTACTTGATATGATTGTTGCCAGCATTAAATAAGATAATACTTCAGAGAGCTGGGGACAATGCCTATCTGATAGTGAGCACTCCATAAATGCTCACATTTTTTTAAATTTTGTTTTTGCTGTTGTTAACTTCACATTTGGGAAAATTGGCTGATCGTGAAGGAAGGTTTGGGAAATGCCTCTTGCATACACTAACTGGTGCTCGTCCAAGGACAGAGGGAACAACAGATTGGGGGGGGCACTCATTGGAGGGGACACATTCATCCCACACCCCACCAGGAATTAAGTGTAAACCATTCCAGTCCAGATTGGCCTCCAACTGTCCTCCTCTCCCCGCACCAACCTCTCTTCACACCTGATTTCTCAAGGTCTAATGTAGTTAAAAAACCATGGAAGAAGTTACACGGGCAGAACTGGGAATGGATGGGAAAAGCATCCCAGTTTCCTCTCTCCCACCTCCAGTCGGGAAATTAAGCATATACGGGTGGAGAGAACAGACCGGCCATTCCCCTCCCTGTTCCCTTTCCCACCGGGTCAGGTTCCTGCCCGTCTGCGTAGCGAATCTCCAAAGGGCTGCAGTGACTCAGCGTCGCTCCCGTTCCAACTGCTAGGACCCTGCCTCTGCAGAGAGGCAGCAGTGGACATGGCCCACTGATTTCCTGAGCTGGAGGGTTCCCCACCTTATGCACAGGAAGGAACTGGAGAGATTGTCTCGTTGAATGCCACTGTTACCTAATGAAGTTCAGAAGTGACATTTCCAAGGTCACATGTTAGTCTGCAGCACAGGGCTTCAGTCTCTGGGTCAGACACATCTGGATTCGAGTACTAGCTCTGCCCCTTAGCTGTGCAGTCATGGGCAAGTAGCTCGGCGTCTGTAAGCCTCAGTGTCCTCTTCTGTAAACTGGAGCTGGTGATAGTACCCATCTGATGGGGTCGTCAGAGAATCACCAGTGACCAGGCATGAAAAGCACTGAGCACAATGCTTGGCATAAAGAAAGTGCTCACTTGCATAAAGTAAGTGTTCACTCTCCCTAACATGATTATTGTGATCACCCAAGTGCCCAGTGCTGGAGAAGGGGCTCTGGGCATGATCCCATGCTGCATTAATGAGAATTAATGGATTCGTATTCCTGACTTCCAAATTTATATTCCATGCATGCGGTAAAAAAAATACACAACTTTGTTGCAAAGTTTCCAAGATTCTACACTTGTTGAGGCCTTGAAAGAAAAGATTCGTGAGGTAAAGTGTCAATTCCGGTGATTTATTTGCAAGTGTCTTCAGGGTCTGTACAGCTCCACATCACTAAGCCTTGGGGCGCAGAGGTCCTATAGGGATGCAACCATGACATTTTCACTCTCTGGCAGGGCTTGGCCCAGACCCATTGTGGTGAGTTCCTCTGATAGTGCTTTTTCATGGTAATGGTGACATTCTAAAATAAACTGGAATTCTAAAATAAACTCTCCCTGATGGAAGGGAATTTAGCCAGTTTTCTCACTTAAAAATTACCTGGGACTTCCATGGGCTATGGAACTTGTGTGGAGAGGCACAGTTGGGTCATGGCAGGCCCAGAGAATTTACCACCATGCCACCCTATTTCATATTCATCCATTCAGCAGACTTTGGGTAAATGCCTACTGTATTCCTCAGCACCACAATGAGGTGTTGGGGTGGAGGTAAATATGAAAAACATACATTCCCCGACCTCAGGGAGCTAAAAATCCAGAAGAGGGGCTAGAGGACTATTGAAATAGTATGAAGCAACCCCACCTCAAGAAACTATGAGAGAGATGAAGAAATGTGCCCAGTGCCACTCAGCCAGGTCTTGGCAGACAGCAGCACAAGGACTCAGATCTCCTGCTGCCATCTGGGTCTGTGTTCTTCATGGCTCATGTTCCCCCCACACACACCTGCAGAGATCAAGTCTTGACCAAGGGGCAGATCACTGAGGAAATGTTCCTGGGCTCAGTGATGGTTAGTTTTTTGTGTCAAATTGGCTAGCCATGGGGCTCAGAGGTTGGGTCAACACCAGTCTAGATGTTGTTGTGAAGGTGTTTTGTTGTGTTCTGTTTTTTTAGATGTGATTAACATTTAAACCAGTTGACCTTAAGTAAAGCAAATTACCCTCCACCAGGTGGGTGGGCCTCATCCAATCAAGTGAAGGCATTCTGCCTCCAAAGTGCCTTGGGACTCAAGTGGCAGCATCAGCTCTTCCCTGGATCTCCAGCTGGCTGGCCTGCCCTGCAGATTTTGGACTTGCCAGTCCCCACAATCATGTGAGCTAATTCCTTAAAATAACTCTGTATGTACACACACACACACACACACACACTGACACACTCACACTGTTGGTTCTGCTTTTGAGAAGCCTGACTAATACAGGCTCCCTCTGCCCTAAAGGAAGGGGAATGCAGAGACACGCACTCATGCAGGCAGAGCCTGGCCGTAGGAACTGGAGCACAGTGCCGGCAGCTCTGGCCAGAATAGCGAGGGTGACCTCTGCACTGACCCCTGGGGCCCCAGGAGATGTCCAGCGAGCCTCAGGAGACGCAGTTACACTCCGGAGATGAAAACAAAGAGCCAGCCTACATGCAGGTATGTTGTTTTAAATTGTGAATTGCTCGACCTGGCATCACCCTCCTCACTTCGATCCTGCTGTCAGTGAAAGCTGCCAAACCCCAAACCCAAAGCCCAACATTGGCAGCCCGTTCTCGCTCTTGGAAATACTATAAGGCTTCACAAATATTTTAATTCTGCTCTTTGTTTTGGTCCAGGTCCTTCAGAGTTTCTGGAGTATTTTACTTCTCATCTACTCATTGTTTCTGCTTGAAGACATTTTTACTCCCAAAGAGTATTTAAAAATAATGATCAAAAGGTCCAAGGAACACAGCGTGTCTGCTGTGTTTCCCAGTGTCCTCCGGCATCAAGCACAGTCCCGGTCCCTAGTATATGCCAAACAGATACTTTTTAAGTGAAAGCAACTATTGAAATATAGATTCTTGATATGTTCTTTCATTGAATCTTGCAATGCTGCTAGGAGACAGGTATTGCTATAAGTAACACCACCCTCTTCTCCACCCATAAATAAGTAAATTACAAAGTAAACAGAGCTCCTGGCTGCTTCAGGGATGCTCTTATTGCCCATGATTTTGGAGTGTGTCCTTCTGTTGGAAAAGCAGGCAGGCACCTTCTTCCATTGAAGCCGCAAAGCCAACAGTCAGTTCCATGATACTTACCACCACCCACTCTCTGGCAAACTGGGCTTAGGGTAGATTCAATCTACAGAAAATCCTAAGGCTTCTTCCAACCAACCACCTCAATATTCTTCTAGACAAAAGCTGTGTTACAAAGTGAAGGGCCAGATCAAGCCATAATTGCATAGAATTTGGCTTCAGACCCTCCCCCCGTGCCCAGCTCTCTGGGTCCTATTTACCTCCGTGGAAAGGCTGAGAGGCTCTCCCAGGAGCGTCCCCAGCCAGAGCCCTTCCCTACAGCTCTATTTGCCACCCGCTGGCGCTTTTGGCCTCTTCTCTTGACGGTTTGTATGATTCATGAGAATATGCTGACAGATAGAAGGAAGTTAATCTTGGGCTGGCAACATAGTTATAGGAGTTTTCTAAGAAAAGACCTGTCACCACAACCCAAAAACCACAGCAACCTCTAACGGGGACAGTGCTGGGCCCTGGGTCAGGTCAATGTGGTTGAGGTTTGGGGACAGCTGCACTCTGCCCACCTTCTGTTCCTCGTCATGGGAGGACCAATTGTCCCTAAATCTCCACCCTCTGAGCCTCTGTTCTAGCAAATTTCATCAGGAAAGGTGGGGATGGGGGGGGGGAAGAGAAATAAGAAAGAGGAGAGGAAGACAGGAATGAGGGGTGAGAAGAGGGAAAAGAAAGGGAGACATGGGGGGAGAAAAAGGGAAGAGTTAACACTCTGAATGACCACGTTAACCTAGAGTCACCATTGTCTTCTGTGGTTGACTCCAAAGAGCTGAACCAGACATCAACATAATTATAAATTATAAATACACACAGACAATTCTCCAACATGACCTCATATTAATTTACACTTACAAGAAAGTACAGAGCACTTGAGTGAGTGAAAATTAAAATGAGAAGAATATGGCATTGTACTAAGACAAGTCTGGAATGAATTAAGTTAATGCAAAACATGAATGCAGGACTGCAATTGGCAAGAACAACTTAGAAGGGTTTAAAAATTCCTTCCCAGAAGATTTTAAAATCTTTAAAGCAATACAGAGTAAAGCCATAAGAACACTTTTTGGCTAGAATATATTGAACTATCTGAGGTAGTAGTTGGGGTCACGTTGATCTGATTCTAAAATTTGATAGGCCAAGCAATCGACTTCATCTAAAAAAAAGATAAAAATTAAAATATTGGATCAGACCTTGATGCTAGACCAAGTTCAGATTTCAGTGAGTCTGCCCTTCAGCCACTAGTCTCAAAGCTGCCCTCCAAGGAAAAAAATGGAAAAGATCACAGAAATGCCCTGGCCATGTGGCTCAGCTGGTTGGAGCATCGGATCATTCTGTCAGGTGTGTTCTGGAAGCAGCCGATAGATGTTTCTCTCTCTCTCTCCCTCTCCCTTCCTCTCTCTCTAAAAGTTGATTATAAAAACATATCCTCTGGTGGGTTAAAAAAAAAAAATCACAAAACCCGTTAGAAAAGGGTGAGAGCAAGAGAAGACCATCACAAACAGAATGTTGAGCACCCCAAACTTTTCCGGGAACAACACACTGTGGTTGTCCTCTGACCACACCAGGAATAAGGCAACAGTGTGTTTCCTGTAAAAC